GCTGGATTTAGTTTTCCAGTGTTTTACTGAGGATTTTCGCATCAGCGTTCATCACAAATATTGGCCTGAAGTTTTTTGTTGTTTTGTGTCTCTGCCAGGTTTTGGAATCAGAGTGATGCTGGACTCATAAAATGAGTTAGGGCAGAGTCCTTCCTTTTCAATTGTTTGGAATAGTTTCAGAAGGAATTGTACCAGCTCCTCTTTGTATCTCTGGTAGAAATCGGCTGTTAAACCATCTGGTCCTGGGCTTTTTTGATTGGTAGGCTATTACTTCTGCAATTTCAGACCTTGTTATTGGTCTATTCAAGGATTCAACTTCTTCCTAGCATAGTCTTGGGAGGGTGTAGGTCCCCAGGAATTCACCCATTTCTTCTAGATTTTCTAGTTTATTTGTGTAGAGGTATTTATAGTATTCTCTGATGGTAGTTTGTATTTCTGGGGTCAGTAGTTATTTCCTCTTTATCATTTTTATTCTATTTATTTAATTCTTCATTCTTTTTTTCTATTAGTCTAGCTAGTGGTCTATCTATTTTGTTAATATTTTTGAAAAATCAGCTCTTGGATTTGTTGATTTTTTTGAAGGTTTTTTTTTGTATCTTTACTTCCTTCAGTTCTGCTCTGATTTTAGTTATTTCGAATCTTCTGCTAGCTTTTGGATTTGTTTCCTCATGCTTCTTTAGCTCTTTTAATTGTGATGTTAGGGTATTGATTTGAGATCTTTCTAGCTTTATGACATGGACATTTAGTGCTATAAATTTCCCTCTTAACACTACTTTATATGCCACAGATTCTGGTACATAGTCTCTTTATAGGTTACAAAAGACATTGATTTCTGCCTTAATTTCATTATTTACTCAGGAGTCATTCAGGAGTGGGTTGTTCAGTTTCCATGTAATTGTGTGCTTTTGAGTGAGTTTCTTAATTCTCAGTTCTAATGTGCTTGTACTGTGTTTTGAGAGGCTACTTGTTATGATTTCAGTTGCAGAGGAGTGTTTTACTTCCAATTATGTGGTTTATTTTAGAATCAGTGCCATGTGACACTGAGAAGAATGTATATTCTGTTGATTTCGGTTGGAGAGTTCTACGTATGTCTATTGGGTCCACTTGAGCCACAGCTAAGTTCAAATCCTGAATATCCTATTAATTTTCTGTCTTGTTGATCTGTGTATTACTGACAGTGGGGTGTTAAATTCTCCTTCTATTACTGTATGAGAGTTGAAGACTCTTTGTAGGTGTCTAAGAATTTATGAATCTGGGCGTTCCTTTATTGAGTGCATATATATTTAGGATAGTTATCTCTTCTCATTGAATTGATCCCTTTACCATAATGTAATGCCCTTCTTTGTCTTTTTTAATCTTTTTTGGTTTAAAGTCTGTTTTGTCAGAGACTAGAATTGCAACCTCTCCTTTTTTTTTTTTTTTTGGGTAAATTTTCCCCTATCCCTTTATTTTGAAACTATATATATGTTTGCATGTGAGAGGGGTCTCCGGAATACAGCACACCAATGGATCTTGACTTTTTATCCAATTTGCCAGTCTGTGCCTTTTAATTGGGGCATTTAGCTTATTTACATTTAAGGTTAATATTTTTATGTGTGAATTAAATCCTGTCGTCGTGATGCTATTTGGTTATTTTGCATACTCGTTGATGGAGTTTCCTCATAGTGTCATTGGTCTTTATAGTTTGGTGTGGTTTTTGCAGTGGCTGGTACCAAGTTTTTTGTTTTTTTTTCCCCTCTATATTTAGTGCTTCTCTCAGGGCCTCTTGCAAGGCAGGTCTGGCGATGATAAAATCCCTTAGCATTTGCTTGCCTGGAAATGATTTTACTTCTCCTTGGCTTATGAAGCTTACTTTGGCTAGATATAAAATTCTGGGTTGTAAATTCATTTCTTTAAGAATGTTAAATATTGCCCCCACTCTCTTCTGCGTTGTAAGATTTCTGTTGAGAAGTCCACTGTTAGTCTGATGGGCTTCCCTTAGTAGGTGACTTGGCCTTTCTCTCTGGCTGACTTAACATTTTTTCCTTCATTTCAGTCTTGGAGAATCTGATGATTATGTGTCTTGGTGTTGATCTTCTCATTGAGTATTTTAGCGGGGTTCTCTGTATTTCCCAAATTTGCATGTTGGCCTGTCTTCCTATGTTGGAGAGATTCTCCTTGTTAAAATCCTGAAGTATGTTTTTCAACTTGATTCCATTCTCCCTGTCTCCTTCTGGTACTCCAATCAATCATAGGTTTGGTCCTTTTACTTAGTCCCTTATTTCTCAGAGGTTTTGCTCATTCCATTCTATTCTTTTTTCTCTGATCTTGTCTGCATGCCTGATTTCAGCAAGATAGTCTTCAAACTCTGATATCCTTTCTTCCACTTGGTCAGTTCAGCTATTCATACTTGTGTATGCTTCACAACTTTTCGTGCTGCTTTTCAGCTCCATCAGGTAATTTATGTTCCTCTCTAAACTGGTTATTCTTGTTAGCAGCTCCTCTAACCTTTTATCAAGGTCTTAGCTTCTTTGCATTGGGTTAGAACTTGTTCCTTTAGCTCAGAAGAGTTTGTTATTTCCCACTTTCTGAAGTCTACCTCTGTCATTTTGTCCATCTCATCCTTCATCTGGCTCTGCACCCTTGCTGGAGGAGGTGCTGTGACCATTTGAAGGAGAAGAGGCACTCTGGCCTTTTGGGCCTTCAGCATTGTTTTATTGATTCTTTTTCATCTTCATGAGTTTGTCTAGTATTGATCTTTGAGGCTGCTGACCTTTGGATAGGGTTTTTATGGGGGTTATTTTTTGTTGTTGTTGTTGTTATTGTTGTTCTTGCTTTCTGTTTGTTTCTCTTGCAGTGGTCTGGTCCCTTTTCTGTAGGGTTGCTGCAGTTGTCTGGGGATTTACTTCAGGCCCTAGTCATCTGGTTTGCTCCCATGTCTGGAGATGTCACTTGAGGAATCTGGAGAACAGTGAAGATGGTGTCTGCTCCTTCCTCTGGGATCTCAAGGGGCACTTCCTCTGATACCTCTAGGATCTCTCCTGTATAGGGTTTCTAATGATCCATTTTGGAGGGTCTCACACAGCTGGATTTTATGGGGAGAAAGACCCACTTAATGAAGCACTTTGGCTGTCCCTTGGTAGAGGGGGTGTGCTTTGCTGGGGGAAGTCCACTTGTCTGGGCTGCCCTGATTCTCATGAACTAATAGGAGGAAGGGCTAAGTCTGCTGGTGTGCAGAGACTGTGGCCACCCATCCTCCTAGGGGCTAAGGCCTAGGGAGATCAGAATTCTGTCCTTGAGCCTCTAACTGGAGTAGTCAGATTTCCTGCAGGGAGACCCCAGTGAGGAGGGATGGGTCAAGGTCAAGCCTGAAGAGGAACTCTGTCTGCAGTCTGCCACAGCTGGTGTGTTGTGCTGTGGGGGATATCTCTTGGCATCAAGCCATCCAGTATTACTGGCTCCAGCAGGGGAAAAGCGTGACCTGGGGCTATAGAGATGGTTGCTGCCCCTCTTCCCCCTTGGGAGCTTAGTGTGTTAGGTGGCTCTCAGTCTGAGTGTTGGCTGTTGCCCCTCCCCCAAGGAGTTCAAAAGGCTTAGACAGCAGGCAGCAGCAGCTGTTGTGCTAGTCACCCCCCCTCCCGCTGGGAGCTCAGCAGTCTTTAAAAAAAAATATATATATATATATATATATGTATGTAATTTAAGTTCTGGGATACATGTGCAGAATGTGCAGGTTTGTTACATAGGTATAGATGTGCCATCCATCACATCTGGTGTTTTTCTGCATCCATCACCCCATCACCTACATTAGGTACTACTGCTAATGCTATCAGCAGTTTTAAACAGATTCTAGCTTAGTGACTGTTGAAAATCTGCACAGCTCTGTGTTTGGGACCCTAGGCCCTGGTGGCATGGGCTCACGAGTAAGATCTTTGTGGAAAAAACACATTTTCCCATGCTGTGTAGCACACTCACTCACTGCCTCCCTTGCCTGGGGGTGGGGGCTCCCCTGGCCCATGTGGCTCTCAGGTGGGCCACTGCATCACACTGCTCTGCCTTCCTCTCCGTGGGTCACGCCAGCTGCCTAGTCAGTTCTAATGACAGAACCTGGATACCTCAGTGGCCAGTGCAGGATTTGCATGCTCTTATGGTTCTTTTCAATGGGAGCCTCCCAACGCTGCTGCTTTTAGTTGGCCATCTTGGCCATGCCCCCTTCAAGCCACTATTATTATTACTATTCTGATGTGTTTATAAAAATCATTTTTGCCACTACATTTTTTTTTCTTTTCTTTTATAATTTAATAATACTGTGCTCTTCTTCACTGAAATGTAGTAATTAAAACTTGGAAGTTTTGGCAACATAATTTGCTGTGAAATAATTCTCTGGTTCACAAACAATTTATCATGGAATTTAAAAATATACATAGATTCCCCATGGCATACCAAAGTTTTCATTCAACTTTTCTGAAACATATTTACCAGGCAAAATGAGAGTTTTCAAAAGGAATGACTTTCTGATAAAATACTTTTAAATTCAAGTTGTATACGATAATAACAAACATTTATTTGAGGCATGGCAAATATCAAATCTAATCCTCATATTAAACCTAATTCTGTCTCTGTTACTATTGTTGTTTTATAGATGGGGAAAATAATATACCAAAAGACTGAAGAAATCACTCTCTCAGTGTTTCATAGCCAATAAGGGGTAGAAGAGGGATTTGAACCCAGGCAGTCCAGATATAAGGTTAATCAACATATAGTCACAAAGCCACAATTTCATCCAAGGACAGAGGCTTTTCTTTGATTCTTCTTCTTTTTTGTTCTCCAGGTTCTCACCGTGTACTTAAAAAAAAGACAATACTTAACTAATATTGTTATCTCTGGAAAATAAGTGATGGCTTCTTACAAAATGATTATCTTCTATTGATTTATTCTGTGACCTAACATAATTGCCTCGACTTGAGTTTCAGTTGAACCACAAAACCTAATGATCTCATACATCTAACTGTGTAACTTACATGATCCATTAGAGGACAGTAGCTGGAAGCAATTCTGGTGCACAAAGAGGAGTAGATCACTTTGTCCAGTTTGGCTAAAAGTGTTCTAAGGGTGAGCAAGGCCCGACGTACAACAGTCTCATCTTTGGAAAGGAAGGCATCCAGGATGGCTATTAATAGACTGCTGACATTTTCTATCTACATATAAAAGGAAAAAAATGGTAGGATTTTGGAACTGGCAGGAGACTTGAGCTGACATTTCGTATACATACCTTGAGTCTGGCAGCACATCATGGTGTGTGGAAGCTGAGTCACTAAAGTCTTGTCAGATTGTCAAAAATGTTGACGTTTTGCTAAAAAACTCCTTATTGAAAGTTAAATTAGGCCGGGTGTAGTGGTTCACGCCTGTAATCCAAGCACTTTGGAGGCCAAGCTGGGCGGATCACCTGAGGTCAGGAGTTCAAGACCAGCCTGACCAACATGGTGAAACCCTGTCTTAAAAAAAAAAAAAAAAGTTAAATTATATAAATTTAACATTATATAGAAACTGATAATACTAAAAATTTATCACTCTCTCATTCTTTTGCTGCATTTTACCATTATCTGTGCTCTTGAGGTTATTTATGGGCATTGTGTCTGAATGACAGGAATATCAAATAATGATGTCCTATTGTGCATCTTTTCCCAGTTCCATGGTTGGTGACGTTCCTTTGAAAGCTTGAAATTAGCCATTATGGGAATCTTTATGTCAGGGAATTGGCCTTATTTCCAGGGAGCTGGCTGTCAAACATTTACCAACACACCACTGGCATAACGACCTCTAAATTAGATTATAGTGACCCATTTGAATATGAGAGCTTCTGAGATACTCGGGTAGGTCATGGGAGTCAATGTAGGTCAGAACCAATCAAAATAGAAGGCAAGGAAAAACATGAAAAGGAGACACCAGAGAGAAAGAAAGGCAAGAAGAAAAGGACTAAAGGGAATGAATACGTATTATTTGTCAAAATAATAGCTTTAAGGAGAAAAAAAGAGAGCTAAGAACTAGTCAGTGCCAGAGGCCATTTGTGTCTTTACCAACAGTATATTAACTCTCAACCCAGATCACTTTCCACTACCTTTCCTTCACTTTCCTAGGAAGCCTTGACAGAATTTTTCTGTCAGTTGTTAACAACACTGGGAAAAACTCTGGATAAAGCAATAAATAATTTGCTGCTAAGAGAACATACATTATTGGTAAATCCACCAACTTGTATTATTTATTCAAACAGACCATGGCTTATGTCATTCTAAGCCAGTAGGCACAGTAGGTATCCACTGATAGGCTTGTTTTCAGAGACTACGCCCAGTAGATAAATAAGGATTTCTTATTAGATTTATTATAAAAATAATAATGATTTATAGAACATTTGCACTCTTGGCATTGTGCACGATACTTTGGAGTGTAGAATTACAGAACGTGGAACATGCTTAAATTCAGTTGACCTTGAAGGCAAGACGTATTCACGTGAGTCAGTGGGAAACAATATAAGACTGTGGTTCTCAACTTTAACTTGAATTGCAGTCACCTGGACAACATTTAAAACACAGATTGGTGGGCCCCACCCCAGAATTTCTTATTCCATAGGACTGGAGTGGGGTCTCACAGTTTGCAATTCTAGTGTCTCCAGGTGATGCTAATACTGCAGGTTCAAGAAGTATACTTTGAGAGCCACTGGTATAAAATATGATTGCTCATAATTGATATGGGTCTGAGAGGGATGTGGCTGCTAGAGATAAGAATTTTCAGTGAGGCTTGACTTGGACTAATCATTGAAAAAGGAGAAAAATGTAAATATGTGTGGGCAAAGTGGGAACATTATGAATAGAAGAAAAAGCTTAAGCACGTGCTCTGAGATAGGAAGTAATGTGTACACATGTATTTATGTTGGGGAAAATTAACATGTGTGTATCATTTCAACTGTTACACGAGTCTAGGGCAATGAGGATAAATACATTCTGAGTGAAATGAATGATTTCCTGTGAAAAAAAGGCAATAAAGCCACTAAATGAACTTAACACATCCTTGCTATTCAACTTAGTTTCCTTGTTAATAAAACAGCAGGCTTTGATATGTTTTAGTTATATAGAAACTGAAAAGTATCACTGCTTTAACAGGGAAGATGTTAAATGATATCAAAATCTCAGATTATGACTTTGATGGTGCTGGCAGACACAAATCACATATGCATACCTCATTGACAACTGATGACATCTGGGCAATTCTCAGAAGACTCAGTTTGCTAACTACAGGATTGGAATCATTGATCCAGTTTCTGAAGAGGACCAAAAATACTTCTGGGAAAGGTTCCTTGAAGAAGTTATTCAGAAGCTGAAAGAAAACAGTTAATAAGTTTATAAGCAAAGTAGAGGCCAAATTGAATGATTTCTGTCATAAAAATAAAGATACTCTAGGTAAAACTAGAATACAAATCTCACTAAAATGTCAAATACTTACATATATTTCAGTGCTCACAGCTGTTGGAGACAGCCATCAGGATAGGAAATAGATGCTTTGCTTGATTTTGTGTGTGTGTGTGTGTGTGTGTGTGTGTGTGTGTGTGTGTGTGTGTGTATTTAAAATTTTGCTCCATTGTTGGAAACTGAGTGACCCAATTTAAATTTCCCCAGTCTTACTGATTGTAGTCAAGTGGTGAGTTTCTTGACAGTGTATGTTTATATATGCTAAGGGGTGATACCTACTATAGGCCAGGCACTACGCTAGTAAATAGAGATCTAATGGTGAGCAAAACGTTGCAACCCATGACCCTGTGGAGCTCCCAGGCACGCTGGAGAGACTGATACTATATTATGTACTATTCTAATGAGACAGAGTTTCTAATTGTGGTCAGTACTAGGAAAGAAAGCTACTAGATTCACAACATATCTGCATCTATAGCAGCAGTCCCCAAACATTTTGGCAACAGCGACCAGTTTTTGGAAGACATTTTTTTCCCAGGGATGGCTGTGGGAGGTGGGGTGTGGAACTGTTCTACCTCAGATCATCAGTCATTAGTTTAGATTCTCATAAGGAGCCTACAACCTAGATCCCCTGCATGCACAGTTCACAATAAGGTTTACACTCCCATGAAAATCTAATGCTGCTGCTGATCTGACAGGAAGCAGAGCTCAGGTGGTAATGCTTGCCTGCTGCTCACTTCCTGCTGTGCAACCAGGTTCCTAATAGGCTACAGACCAGTATCAGTATGTGGCCAGGGAGTTGGGGACCCCTATCTATAGGACTATTGGATTTACATTGTGTAATGTAGATTCAGTTTAGAATGAAAAATGATATTTAGATTTAGATTTGAGAGTTGGCATTAGCTAGAAAGTGTTTAGAGAGGATACCTCCAAGTATGGTGAACCATGTGCAAAGGCCCTGAGGGAGATGAAGCAGAGTGTGTTTGAGCACCTAAAGATGAGTGATAGGAGTGGAGAGGGAAGAGAAGACTGGACAGCAGTGAGGCTTGAGGGCAGGTAAGGAAGGTGGGACAGAACCTGTAGGCCAGTTTGAGGAAGTTTAGTTTTTAATAGCTAATACCCAAAATAAAGGCATGATTATAATGAGCCTTCATACATTTAATAACTGACAGTCAAATATGCTGACTAAAATCTCTTAAAAACTCAATAACAGTTTTATAAAATCATGTTTTCTTTGGAAGAATTTAAAATACCATTAGATCAGGTATACAGAAAGATAGGGAGTAACAGAGGAAGAGAGTGAGAGTGAGAGGGAGAGTGAGAGAGACAGTGAATGAGAGGGGAGGATAGACCACATCTTCTTTTCAAGCTTTCAAGGAACCTTCACAAAAGTTAGATACCATGTCAAAAAGTGTTAATAACTTCTCTCAAGCAAGACATTTAAAAAGCACTTCAAAAATTTGTGATACAATAAAAGAAGAAACCAAAAAAAAGTTTAAATAAATAAAGCCAATAAAGCATTCATAAATTTAAGAGAAACCTCCTCTAATTTGTGGGTCAAAATCTTAAACCACAGAGGAACTGAAATACTCAGTAAGGATGACAACAAAATAAAAAAACAATAAAAATTATATGTAATGTAGATATTTATATTATAGCTGAAAGTAAATGCATAATTTGACTTTAAATATTTTACTTAAAGATAAATATTAATATAAATTATATTCTGAAATTAAGAGAAACAATATCACAAAATATAAAACAGCACTAAAGAAAATTGGTATGAGAAAATAATAAAGATAAAAGCAGAAATCATTGAATTAGGAAACAAAAAACAATTGAATTAATAAACCTATTGCCATTTGCACAGAAAAGAAAATCCTATTAAGATAAATAGACTTTTGGCCAATATAATACAAAAAAGAACAAATAAAATGAGCAGTGAGAAAAAAGTGTGGAATAGATTAAAATTTTAAAAAGAATATCTATGTTAGTAGTTCTTAAGCAAGGATGAGTGCAGGATCTTCTGTGGGCAGCTTTTATATATTACACATGTCTGCACTTCATCCTAGTAGATTTTCCAATGGCAGACCCTGGCTTGTGTACTTAAAAAATATTTCTTGGTGATTGTTTTAATATGCCCATCTTGTAGAGACCCGGTGATTATGGCAGTAATTTGAAATTCTGAGTGAAATAATTATTTTCTGGAAAAATATAGACCTCTAAACATAAGGAAAACTAGATAATTGAAATAGATGATCCATTGGTCTATATCTCTGTTTTGGTATCAGTACCATGCTGTTTTGATTATTATAGCCTTGTAGTGTAGTTTGAAGTCAGGTAGCATGATGCCTCCAGCTTTGTTTTTTGTTTTTTGTTTTGTTTTTTTGCTTAGGATTGTCTTGGCTATGCAGGGTCTTTCTTAGTTTCATATGAGTTTAAGGTGGTATTTTTCCAATTCGGTGAAGAAAGTCAGGAGGTAGGGGGTTTGAGGAAGGCTAGTGCTAGGAGAAATACCTAATGTAGATGACAGGGTGATGGATGCAGCAGACCACCATGGCACATGTATACTTCTGTAACAAATCTGCATGTTCTACACATATATGTCAGACCTTAAAGTATAATAAATAAATTTAAAAATAAATAGATGAAAAATAATGGAAGACTGATGATAATGCATTACTTATAAACATGATCAATGGTAATTCTTTTTGAGTGATAACTACACATAAAAATGTAAAGTCGTATTTTCCCTTTGTGATTATAGTAAGCTATAGGGTGGTAATTTGGTCCTATGTAAGTAACACCTAATGATGACTTTTTCTGGATTTATTTATCACATTAAAGCGTGCAGAAATTGTGATTTGCCACTTCTAGCATTCCTTCTACATTTAGTGGCTGGCATCTGTCTCTCTGTCTGTCTCTAATCCTGTATTCCTCTAATCTTCTATTCTCTCTTCTCATTCTCTCATTTTGAGAACCACCAAGGACTCATGAATTTAAGAAAATTCAATGTTACAATTATTTAGTTACTATTCATTCTCATGCTCAAAGTTGGCTAGGAGAAGTCACTTTGAGTTGACTCTTGTGTCCTTTTGACATGCCCCCATGGGCCTTTAGCCCTTATTTGGGTTGTGGAAAAATTAGATGTCCCTGACTCATCTATTTTTCTAGCTCCCTGAAACCAGCCATTTCATCAAAGACACATGGTTCCTTTTGGTGAGTAATAGCACTTAGAAACCATTAGAAATGGATGCTAAAGTACTCCTTGCTGTTGGAATATCATGTCTGCCTGGCTTTTACTCAGAGCTTGGAAATAGTTATTCTTTAAATCATGAGTTCATACTAATAACATTGATATTTTTAATTCAAAGCTAATATAAAAGTTTACATTAACTTTTTGCAGCCTCATGTTTGTATTGCCTTCCTTTTACATGGAAAACGTTGGCATCTAATATTATTAATATATTTACTTATTTGCTTTCTGCTATATAATACGTACCTTAGTCTTAAAATGATAATATCAATATACAATACCAATAAACCTCAATGGGATTCTTCAGCATTTGAGAATCTTAAGAGCTGTGAGACAGAAGCACCAGGTAACCTAAAAAGGAAAACCTATCAAATTAACAGCAGATTTCTCAGCAGAAACCCTACAAGCTAGAAGGGATTGCAGTCCTATCTTCAGCCTCCTCAAACAAAACAAGTATCTACCAACAATTTTGTATTCAGTGAAACTAAGCATTATATATGAAGGAAAGATACAGTCATTTTCAGACAAATGTTGAGAGAATTTGCCATTACCAAGCCACCACTACAAGAACTGCTAAAAGGAGCTCTAAATCTTGAAACAAATCCTGGGAACACATCAAAACAGAGCCTATTTAAAACACAGGACCTATAAAACAAAAATACAAGTTAAAAAGGAAAAACAAAAAACACAAAAAATCAAATTACAAAGGCAACAAAAAGCATGATGAATGCAACAGTACCTCATATTTCAATATTAACATTGAATGCAAATGGCCTAAATGCTCCACTTAAAAGATACAGAACCACAGAATAGATAAGAACTCACCAACCATCTATCTGCTGCCTTCAGAAGACTCACCTAACACATGAGGGCTCATATAAACTTAATTAAGAGCATGGAAAAAGGCATTTCGTGTAAATAAACATCAAAAGTGAGCAGGGGCAGCTATTCTTGTATCAGACAAAACAAACTTCAAAGCAACAGCAGTTAAAAGAGACAAAGAGGGACATAATATAAAGGTAAAAGGCCTTGTCCAACAGCAAAATATCACAATCTAAACATATTTGCACCTAACACTGGAGCCCCCAAATTTATAAAACAATTACTAATAGACCAAAAAATGAGATAGACAGCAGCACAATAATAGTGGGGGACTTCATACTCCACTTGTAGTATTAGATGGGTCACCAAGACAGAAAGTCAACAAAGAAACAATGGATTAAACTATACCTTCAAACAAATGGACTTAACAGATATACACAGAACATTTCATCCAGCAACCACAGGATACACATTCTATTCAAGAGTGCATGGAACTTTTTCCAAGATAGAACATACGATAGACCATAAAGTGAGCCTCAATACATTTAAGAAAATTCAAATTATATCAGGCACTCTCTCAGACCACAGTGGAATAAAACTGGAAATCAACTCCTAAAGGAAACTTCAAGATGACACAAATACATTGAAATTAAATAACCAGCTCCTGAATGAGCATTGGGTCAAAAATGAAATCAAGATGGAAATTTAAAAAATTATTCTAACTGAATAATAATGCAGACACAACCTATCAAAACCTCTGAGATACATCTAAAGTAGTGCTAAAAGAAAAGTTCATAGCTTTAAATGCCTACATCAAGAAGTCTGAAAGAGAAGAGCACAAATAGACTATCTAAGGCACACTTCAAGGAACTAGAGAAACAAGAACAAAGCAAACACAAACCAGCAGAAGTAAGAAAATAACCAAGATCACAGCAGAACTAAATAAAATGGAAACAAACAAAAAAATTCAAAAGATAAAAAGCTGGTTATTTGAAAAGATGAATAAAATTGATAGACCATTAGAAAGATTAACCAAGAAAAGAAGGCAGAAAATCCAAATAACCTCACTAAGAAACGAAACAAGAGATTCTACAACTGACACCACTGAGATACAAAGATCCTTCAAGGCTACTATGAACACCTTTATGCATGCAAACTAGAAAACCTAGAAAAGATGGATAATTTCCTGGAAGAATACAACCCTCCTAGTTTAGGTCAGGAAGAATTAGATACCCTGAACAGACCAATAACAAGCAGTGAGATTGAAATGATAATTTTAAAAATTACCAACAAAAAAAGACCTGGACCAGAGATTCACAGCAGAATTCTACCAGATATTCAAAGAAGAATTAGTACCAATCCTTTGACACTATTTCACAAGGTAGAGAAAGAAGGAACCCTTCCTAATTCATTCTATGAAGCCAGCATCACCCTAATATCCAAACCCGGAAAAGACACAACCAAAAAAGAAAACTACAGACTGATATCCTCAATGAATATAGATGCTAAAATTCTTAACAAAATACTAGATAAATGAATCCAACAACAAATCAAAAAGATAATCCACCATGATCAAGTAGGTTCATACCAGATATGCAGGGATGGTTCAATATATGTAAATTAATAAATGTGACAAACCACAGAAACAACTAAAAACAAAAATCACATGATCATCTCAATAGATGCAGAAAAAGCATCTGACAAATTCCAGCATCGCTTTATGATTAAAACCCTCAGCAAAATCGGCATACAAGGGTCATAGCTTAATGTAATAAAAGCCATCTATGCAAACCTACAGCCAATATATTACTGAATAGGGAAAAGCTGAAAGAATTCCCTCTGAGAACTAGAGCAATACAAGGAACAATACACTCTCACCACTCCTCTTCAACATAGCACTAGAAGTCCTAGCCAGAGCAATCAGAAAAGAGAAATAAATAAAAGGCATGCAAATTGGTAAAGAGGAAGTCATGTCCCTGTTTGCTGATGATATGATCATTTACCTTGAAAACACTAAGGACTTCTCCAGAAAGCACCTAGAACTGATAAAATAATTCAGCAAAGTTTCCAGATATAAGATTAATGTACATAAATCAATAGCTTTTTCTATACAACAATAGCAATCAAGCTGAGAATCAAATGAAGAACTCAACCTCTTTTATAATAGCTGCCAAAAATATAAAATACTTAGGAATATACCTAACAAAGGAGTCAAAAGACCTCTACAAGAAAAACCACAAAACACTGCTGAAATAAATCATAGACAACACAAACAAGTGTAAACACATCCCATGCTTATGGATGGGTAGAATTAATATTGTGAAAATGACTATACTGCCAAAAGCAATCTACAGATTCAACACGATCCCCATCAAAATATTACCATCATTCTTCACAGAGTTAGAAAAAAACAATTCTAAAATTCACATGGAACAAAAAAAGAGCCCGCATAGCCAAAGCAAGACTAAGCAAAAAGAACAAATCCGGAGGCATCACACTACCTGATTTTAAGCTATACTATAAGGTCACCAAAACAGCATGGTACTGGTACAAAAATAGGTACATAGACCAATGGAACAGAATAGAGAACCCAGAAATAAACCCAAATACTTACAGCCAACTGATCTTTGACAAAGCAAACAAAAAAATAAAGTGGGGAAAGGACACCATTTTCAAAAAATGGTGCTAGGATAATTGGCTAGCCACATATAAGAGAAGGAAACTGAAACTTCATCTCTCACCTTATACAAATATCAAACCTCAAGATGGATACAGGACTTAAATCTAAGACTTGAAACTATAAAAATTCTAAATGTAACATTGGAAAAAAACTTCTAGACTTGGCTTAGGCAAGGATTTCATGACCAAAAACCCAAAAGCAAATGCAACAAAAACAAAAATAAATAGCTGGGACCTAATTAAACTAAAGAGCTTTTTGCACAGCAAAAGGAACAGACAAGAGTAAACAGACAACCCACAGAGTGGGAGAAAATCTTCACGATCTATACATCTGACAAAAGACTAATAACCAGAGTCTACGAGGAACTCAAACAAGTAAGAAAAAAACAAAATCCCATCAAAAAGTGGGCTAAGGATATGAAAAGACAATTCCCAAAAGAAGGTACACAAATGGCCAACAAACATATGAAAAAATGCTCACCATCACTAATGATCAAGGAAATGAAAATCAAAACTACAATGCAATATCACCTAACTCCAGCAACAATGCCCATAATAAAAAAAATCAGTCAAAAAACAGTAGCTGTTGGTGTGGGTGGGGTGATCAGGGAACATTTCTACACTGCTAATGGGAATGTGAGCTAGTACAGCCACTATGGAAAACAGTGTGGAGATTCCTTAAGGAAATAAAAGTAGAAATACCATTTGATACAGCAGTCTCACTACCGGGTATCTACCCAGAGGAAAAGAGGACATTATTCAAAAAAGAAACTTATACACACATGTTTATAGCAACACAATTCACAATTGCAAAATTGTGGACCAACCCTTTTAAATGCTGATCAGTTAATGAGTGGATAAAGAAACTGTGGTATGTGTATATATATATATGTGTGTGTGTGTGTGTGTGTGTGTGTATATACATATATATATATATGTGTGTGTATATATATATGTGTGTGTGTGTGTATATATATGTGTGTGTGTGTGTATGTGTGTGTGTGTGTGTGTGTATATATATATATATATATATATATATATATATATATATATAATGTGATGGAATACTACTCAGTCACACAAAGGAATAAACTAACAGAATTTGCAGTGACCTAGATGAGACTGGAAACTATTATTCTAAGTGAAGTAACTCAGGAATGGAAAACCAAACATTGTATGTTCTCACTGATGTGTGGGAGCTAAGCTATGAGAATGCAAAGGCATAAGAATGACACAATAGACTTTGGGGAATTGGGGGGAAGAGTGGGAGAGAGCCGAAAGGTAAAAGACTACAAATATTGTGCAGTGTATGCTGCTCGGGTGATGGGTGCAGTAAAATGTCACAATCTCCACAAAAGAACTTACTCATGTAACCAAATACCACCTGTACCCCAATAACTTACAGAAAAATAAGAAACTCACCTATATACAGTCAACTAAACATTCATTTAAAAAAAGCCAAGAATAGACACTGAACAAAGAATAGTCAATTCAATAAAAATAATGGGTTACACAGTAAAATTAATGAGAAGTGAAAATGGACTAAGCACATTTGAAATCATTGATGACTATCTACTGCCATGTTCGGTTAAATTCATTTATGTATACTTTTGAAAGCTTTAGAAGTAGATGGTATGGTATAAGAGTATGCTTTTAATAATTTAACTGTTTTACTATGGTGTTTGAAATCTTCTCAAATTTTGAAAATACTGGGTACTACACCTTATGTAACACATGTGTATTATTATTTTTATGAAAAATTAGATTTGACTCTGATAATTTCAAGTTATAAAGCCTTTATGTTTTGTAATCAAAATCAATTTGCTTGACTTCATTATAGCATTATAATACACGGTACAATATTCATATACAAAATAATATGGTCCCACATCTCCATTTTACTTAGTTATCCAGCCAGTTCCTTTTCTCCCATAGATGGTCAGAAGTACCACCTAGATCCCAGATGTTATCTACCATCCTTATTAAACCCAATTATCCCTTGATATACTTTAACAATCATACAGAAATATATAAACTGGTACTAAAAAAATAATTAGTGTTTGTGCAAATCCACACCCCTAGAAACAGATTAAAACCAACTGCTGGATAAAACTGAAGGGACAGTGCTTCCATAATCCAGATATAACTCCACACCTCTCCCCACCCAACTTCAGATATTGTTCATGATCTTAAGTATTGGTGAGAACCAATATTCAGAGGGAGACATATAAGAAACTGGAATTTTGATTTAAATTTGGGTAAGGAAAGGAAATGAGAACACAGCTGTTCACAGTCTATAAAACTCACTTCAGTGAGGAATATTACTATGATGAGATTGTCTTCCGACCTTCTAGGACCTTCTACTGAGAGCTTATAGAGATAATGCAGTGTCTCTGGAAACTGTGGAAAGTTACAGCCACTGAGAGTTCTGTAAAAGAGAATAAGGCAAAGGAGAAAGCACTATGCTAATAGTGGTAAAGAGAGAATCATTATTCTAATATCTTGTACCTCCCAGATAAAAAGAAAGATATTTTTTAATATTCCCTAAATAAGTTGTAGTCCCACAGTGAATTCTACACATACTCTGCAGAATTATATATAATTGAATCCCTTTCAGCATCTTTCCTTAATGTCACTTCTCTTTCTTGTCTCTCCCACCCTTTGCCACAGAACAGAATACCCTATTTTAGTACAAGCTCCCATCAATTCTTCACTAAAAGGAGAGGAAATAAAAATCTACTGCTCAGTCCAAGATGGCTGGATGCAGGTCATCTTTGTAGTTTTGGACCAAGCTCTTTCTTTGAATGATATAACGCTGATGAGAGTTTGGGACTGTCCTGGATTACTCAGGAAAAGAGGTGATGAGCTCTGATTTACTATGCTGTTCTCCAGAACACACTCGGATGGTGGCCAGCCTCATGCTTGTCCTGATATAGTGGCCTGGATCAGATTAGTGAGGGCAGAATTACGAAGGATAACATGACAAAGTTTCCATTTTAAGATTCCCAGCTGGTCTTCCAAACCAGTGCTTATGAAACTGCAATGTGATAACAAATGACCCCGGAGATATTGCTAAAATACAGATTCTGATTCAGTAGGTCTGGGGTGGGCCATGAGATTCTGAATTTTTAACTCTCTCAGGTGACGCTGTTGCTGCTTGTCTGTGGACCACGCTTTGAGTAAGAAGATCCAGAGTTACTTCTTAGATATCCTTAGAGTGACACTCAACTTGTGACAACTTGTAGGGTGCAGATGTACTACACTTTAACACAGTATGTGTTCCTAAAATCTATTTGCAAATGAGACTCTTTTATAAAAGCACCAAGGCCTCATAGACCACATAGAGAGTACTTTCTGGGTCAGGCACAACTTGAAATTGTCAAGAGCCTGAATTTTGATTCTTGATCAGAGAATCTGATCCCTACCATCAGAAACTTGCTGTTTACTAAAGGGCTAACTAGAAAAAAACCGTCTTCTATTATTCTTTTCCATGTTTATTTGGCTCATTGAATAGGTTTTTATTGGACCTCTTTCAAGTGGGAATACATCTGAAACTGATGCCTGCAGAGCAGGAATCAGCTAAAATCAGAGGGAAAAAAACAAACTCACCTCTAGTTTTCTGTATCTATAGAAAAAGAAACCTGTTCTGTGGAGGGAGGATCATTGGGCATCTGTATCATCAGTAAGGGGGCAAAATAAAAATAAAAATAAGTAAATAAAAAAAGAAAAAAGAAAAAAATTCTCAAAACACTTCAAAATAATTGAAGAAGTAGAAATCAAATAGCAACTTAGATCGTTAAGAGAGATTTAGAATTGGAGTAGATGCCTATTTTGTTCCTCCATAGCTTACTTGAAGGAAGTTGGAGAAGGTGGGATAAAGAAAAGAATCCTACAGAGCCCCCAGTTCTTACTTTGCCAGAAGATAGACTCTATAACGGTGATACAGCTCTTCAGATAGATGGTTCCAGAAACTCTTTTTTGTTAGAGTGATATCCACCTCTTGTAGTCCAGAACAATTCAGCAGAGCTCTCAGGGCATCCTGGGCATATCTAAAGCCCCAAAAGAGAGTAGGGTCATCACGTGCCAATGATACTAAAAAAACTAAGTGCACATTACCTGCCTTTTCATTCCACGTTGGGCAGAATACAGGTTTTGAGAAAGGGGATGTCTCAAAGGAAAAAAAACTGCTAAATGTCCTTTATCTTCCCTGATTAACAGTACATGGGATAGGGGATAAATTGAAATTGTGACACATAAAATCTAGCAATAATCTCAGAACAGCTTATTTGTTTATTATTAATAGCTCATTTGCCAGAGATGAATTTGAAAGAGATGTTCAATGATGCAGTGACTTGCTAAAGGTGTCCATTTTCTTCTATGGGTATCTTAAATGAATAGGATATATTCTCATCTAGTTGGGATGCTTTGGTGTATATCTTCTTAGAGAATAGGTAGTAGATTATATACCTTAATAGAACTGATTGTGTTTTATAACTCTGCCTGGCTTAAAATCCACACTAGACAAGGGAAAATAGTAGATATTTGGGTTGAGATTTCCCTGTTGGGTAGCAAAATCAACTGTACTCTCTTGGACAAAAGGGAATTGCTAAACTTCTATGTGGACAGACAACTTCATGTAGTTATAAACTCATATATTACACCTCCAACCACAAACTAACTTTACAGTTCACAAAGTACATGTGAGCACATCGTTTTTTTCTTATATGTAGAATAACCCTAGAGGTTCCAGCAAAAAGTAGGTAGATGGCAGAGCAAAAATGTATCTGGTTTTGGATGTAATGCTCTGCCCTCGTTTCTGTGGTAACCTCTTACTGATCTGATAGGGAATGTGGTAGGAATCAACAGAGTTCTGTGGTCATGGCTCTTATATGCTACACATGCTCATGGAAGGTGAGCTAACTTCTAGGTACCGGGCTGGTTCCTTTTCTGAAGGAATTCTACTATTCAGAGGAGAGAAAACTGTAATAAGTGAACACACTGCACATGGGACTGTAAAGAATCCCATATGAACCTCCAACGGGGTAGAAGTATTGACAGCTGGATGCTTATCTCTTGCATAATCTGAAATAACCAGCATTATCTCACAAAGTCCTGTCCGTGAGCATCAGGCTCAGCTCACTGCTGTAGGAGACTTGGAACATAAGGGCCATCAAGAGCTGGGGGAAAAACTGGGCCACCGCTTTCTTGTAGGAACCAAGAGGCAGAAAGGTGCATAGGGCCTGGGATGCCTATAAGGGAAAGAAATAGAAGGTAGAAATGTAAACAGTTTTTCTCTAAACCCAGTCAACCTTACTGAGGGGAGCAATGGAGTGTCTCTGCAACCCCTCCTTCAGCCTCCTTGAAGAAAACCTAAAGCATATATAGGTACCCATTCATTCATTAACAGCTGCTACATCAGTTGTGAGCCAGGAACTGTGCCAAGCATACCACGGTAAGGGAATCTCAAGGCACTATACAAACACCCTGGCTGCCAAACCAGTGAGAAAGCATGTCAGAAAACTTCATAGGTCATTTTATACAATAAATTAGGCAATAATATCATACATATTTTTACAAACATAAACACTTAGGTATACTAACAACAGTCATATGGGTAACAGTTTTGAGCAGACAAACCATATTCATAAAGAAATAGCTTATATAACTGTGGTCATCTGAAATCCCTTGGTGGACAATATAAGTCTTTTGACAAGACAGACCAATGGATCACCACCATATATGCTGTTGTCCAAAGAGCTGAGATCTCAATAAATTTTATCTTTCTTGAAGAAAGCAAATATATAACAATACATCTCATTTATTGAGGAAGTTTCAACATTTTTATACACAAGTGCAATGCTTAAACACAAAGTCAATGTTGTGACAACGCATCTTCATGGAGACAAATTTGCAAAAAAATGCATAAAAAGAATTAGAACCCTCTAAAAGTTTTTACACAATTTATGTCTCTAGTATTGGAAATGAAATATGTAGCATAACAAATTAGAAGCAATAATGCTGACAACTTAAAATAATGAGATAAATACATTAAAAAGAAAGTAGAAAACAATCTAAAAAGAAAATTCAACATATAAAAAACAATAGGGATAAATTATGGGCAATTGCATAGAGGTGGTCCATTAGACCTGGTCAGCTTTTATGATCATTAATTATATTTAGAAGTCCTTCATTGTGATGAATGGCTGTTATTTTTTCTTTATCTTTTAGGGCATGGCTCTCCCTGGAGAATATGTTTACATTCATTTTATATGTGATGCTACTCTTTTTGAAATTCTTTTACGATTTGACATATACTAACTTGAGCATTTCCTATTACATTTTCCCATCTTCTGTACTATGCTTTTATGTTGTTTTGGCATGCAGAAATCTATTTCACGTGTACTCATAGAAAGACCACAGATTTGGAGGAAGCAATACTGGTGATTGAACAGCAGCACCATTCCATAATTGTCTTCTTCTCCTACTATACACATAATTAGACCAGTCAGTAACTTGTCTGGCTTCTTCAAGGCAAATATGGCTTTAATTTATCAAAATCTCCTGGAATTTCATCAGCTGCAAGGAATGCCAATGCAAATAAATGGCATATTTTACAACTAAAATTTTCATCATTGCCATATTGCCTGGCTAATCCACTCATCTGAATTTTCCTAGAAATGCTTTGGACTGAATGGAAAAAGCAAACATTATTTGTGATAACTTAAAATTCACTTGTAGAAGTCTTGATTGTACCTGATTCCGAATCCATCATTACCGTTTGGGGATTCAATCAGATGATAGAAATTTTAGACTTTTAGAATTTTGATCTTTTAGATTTTCAATATTCAGGATTATGGTGTTCAGGATTTTGCCTTTAGGGATTGTAACTGGCATTGTAAAAATACATATTCCAACATATCACATTTGTGAAGCAATGCCAACTTTATACTACTCTGCCTCTGTAAGACCTTAGTTTACATTTTGGTTTTCAGGAGATATAAAATGATGGACACAAATGAGATTAGATCTTTCCCTGGCTACAAAAACCTGTATGATCTAGCCACTGTCTGCTTCTTTCATATCATCTCCTGTACTTTCATCTCAATTGCCCAATTCACTGATTGTTTGGCCTCCTTGTATTCTCTAACATACTAAGTAAATGTCCATCAGTATGAGACTTTTCCCTTCTCTCAGTCTAGAACTCTCTAACTCAGATATATGTAAGGTTCATAACCTCACCTGATTCAGGTCTCTGATTAGATGCCACCTCAGCAGAGAGGCCTGCCCTGACCCACTTGCCTAAACTTTGCCAGTCACTTTCTTTCTCCCACACCACTATATATGTCTTTTAAGGTTTATACCATCTGAATTACAACACGATTATTTGTTAATTATCTGTTTCTTACCAAAATGAAAGCTCCATGGTAGGGCACAGCACATAATAGACACTCAATAAATATGTGCTGCATGAATGGATGCATGAGAGGAGGACTGTGTTAAGGAAGTATGATTAAATCTGTGGGAAGATAGGGATTTTTTAAATGGGGAAGACAATACTGAGAATAAGAAACACTCATCATGTTATTTACCGCCAAAGGCATCACGTTGGTAGCATCAAGAGAGAAGCGTTTTCTTTCTGTTAGGCTGTCCTCCATTTCCCCAGGTTTTCCTTTCAGTATCAGTAAGATTGTCTTCAGTACGTGAGGGGCCGGGGTCGCCTCAGAGCCTGCCGCCTGCCACATCTGTATCAGAGTGCTGCAAACACAGCCCCACCCCATACAATGAGAATCATGTTTGTCGTGTCCTACTTGATAGAATAACAAGAATCAGGAAAAGAGTCTTGGTTTTACATCCTTAAATAGCAAAGACGCTGCAGACATGTCCAAAACAAACTGAGATTCCCATTTCCAAAGGATCTCACAAGGCTTTTATGCCGGAAAACAGAATTTCAGTAAGACCTATGGAAAATACCAGAGTCTGGTCTGCAAGTTCATTTCTACTGCTATTTAAATGTCTGTCTAGCTCACTGTCAAGAACTGATCAGCTTTCTGTACTCAGTACTTCCTCTGCTCCTCTCGCTTCGTGACTTTGTTGGTCAAGGAATAATATAATATTTAAAAACTGGCATGGGACGACAAATTACTAAGTGGATTGATATAAAAATAAAAAATTAACCCCAACTAAAAAACCATATAAATGGTGAAAATTAAAAAAAAAACAACAAAAAACTGAGCTCAGAAGAGTGAGCCATTTTGGCAAATGGCACACAATTAGTGACACAGATGCTGTTAAAAATCTTGGCTTCTCAACCTCCAGTCCCCTAGCTCCTTTCCCTGTATACTCAACACTCTTCAAGATTAGCCCTACTATTGCCCATCTTAAAAACTGCTATACACCTCTGCACTGATAAATTCTGATATCTTGCCAGTTCTTGGTTCTGACACCTATTGCTCAGCCGTTCAGTTGAGGTTCATCATATGGGTGCCTGATCCCTTGGAATATGGACATACCCAGCTCTGTAGCACGTACTACCCACCTGCTCCTGCTTACAAGTCTCACTTTTAATCAGATGGACATCAGCTCTCAAATGCCGTGTCTCTTTGTCTTATCTCTTGTTCATACATTTTGGCTGAGCAAATCTTTCATGTGTTCCTTTGGTTTAGTTTCACTCCAAATCCTGGCCTTTTCTACCTCAACGCCTACCTATAATTAGACCTGCTGGTAGCGACTTTGATTAAGTTCACCTAATTAATTGTGCCTGCTTTCTGTACTTCCTCAGCACATATTGCTTGTACCAGATTTATTGGCAATTTTTATCTTATATGCATGTGGATATATTCCCTCTCCTCAACAAAATGTTTGAGGGCCAGTAATACCTTACACAAAGTGGGTGCTTAGTTCCTGGATGTTAGATTGTCTTATGAAGATATTTCTAGGAATTTTATAAATAGTAAAATACTTTGTGAGTTAAAGCTTCCTAAATAAATACAATCTTTCAGTCTGAAAAATGAAGTTATGTGATTTACTTAGACTTTTGTTGATCTCAATGACCTGTCACAGGAATTAATTCACATATCTATAGATAGAAAGAACTTTCCTCATTTTCTAGATGAGGAAATTTAACATCAGGGAGTTTTATCAAACTTGCATAACGTCACACAGAATGTAAGGATCAAGGTTGATGGAAACAGATTCATTTATTTCCAAAGACCTAGTCCTCTTCATAATAAAACTCCCTGCCTTTTACACTGTTCATAATTAAGAAGTACTACCTGATTTCTAGTATTTATGCAAACTGTAGAAATGGAGTGGTGTGATTTTTCTAAGCTCTTCTAATGTACCTGTTAGGTTCATATTGTCCTATAGGCTCACATTTGCACTTTTTCTTTTTAAACTTTTCTTGTGATTCAGAATCATAAATTTCAGATTAACAGTCAAAGGACACAGGATACCCAATTATAATGTTTGTTACTGCTGTGTAGAAATATCTTATATTTGTCCTTCGTAAACAAGGAAAACACTACATGTACAAATTTATTTCCTCAACAGAAATGAGTAAATTCACAAATGGGAGTAAAAATCCATTATCACTTTGAGGAGAGTTTTGTTCCTCTGGGACATGCACCAGAACACAATTTAATGCCTCAGATAAGTAATAGTGACATTGATCATTTCTTGTGGGCCTACTGTGTTTTAGGTATTATACAAAGATATGCATACTACATATGATCCTTATTTAAGTCTTAAAATCATCCCACATAATGCAAAAATAGATTTTCTCTTTCAGAAAAAAGAAACCAGGCCTGACTATTGTAGATTAAGAGTTGAGCCCAGGTCCATGTGAGCAAGCCCTCCTGGAAGAGTCAGAGGATTAAGGGGCCTTACTCATCTGCTGGAACTGGGTAGTCCATAAGTTGAAAGATGACCTTCTTGGGTGAAGTACGTGTCAACAAAGTGATAACCCCCAACATATCACACTTCATGTTGTGAAAACTGTTTTCACACAATTGCTTATAAATAGCATCCACGATCTTAGACACCTGTAAGAGAAATTCAACAGGTAAACAAGAGTCTCCTGTTCCATGGTCACCTCTAAACCAAGGCATATTTCTTGGACATAAGAATTTGCCTTTTCACAGAATTACCAAGGCAGCAACTAGCACACAAATAAGCACTAGTAGAAAGCATATTTATATTTGTGACTACACAATGCAAAATATTCATTTGGATGAAGACAAAATCTGTGCATTTATGGATAGCAGGAAAATGTCCATTTCCTTAAAAGTTTATTCTGGGAGGGTTGAATTCATTCTATAAGAAATATAAGCTCAGTATAGGAAACATACATATAATTCAAGTACTTAAAGAAGAAAATCAAAACAATGGAACAGAATAACAATAGAACCACAGCATATACTTCAAAAAAACTTTTGTAAGTTAAAGATGATTTGAGTCCACATATTGAAGGGATGAACCATGTATCAGAGGAATGACCCAGAATGGTAAACACTAGGCTATAGTCTTGCAAACTCTACTCATAGGTCCCATGTTAATTTCATTTTTCCTCCTCTTTTTACTCATTAAGGAACAAGGAGAGTTCTAGCTGGATCTCAGATTTGTCTCAAATCAGTGGCTGTGTATTAATATCAAATTTAATCCACTCAGATCATCTCACGTCTAATTTTGAAAGTAATCCTTTGCATTTTTTTCTTCTTAAATATTTCTTGTGATTCTAGATCATAAATTTTAGTCTAACAGAGATTATAAGCTGAAAAATTAGTTAATGCAAATTTACATTGCTTTGCAGTTACACCACATACAATTCAGTTATCTGTACAACTTTTTATGGCAAACAAAAGAAAAACAAAATATTAAAAAGTGCAGGGTGCTTTTCCAACTACATAGGCTCCAAGGTGAGCAAGAAATGAGAGACATTAAACTACACTTTTCTATAGACCTTTCAACTATAGGATTTAGAGCTTCTTGCAGTTGTCCTCTTCCTAGTTTAAGTGCAGATACCTCTAAAGCAAACCAGCTATGTCACTGGGTGCTTAATTATAGAAATTTGTGCTGATTTATGTTCAGTTATATTAATGATAGTCTGTTTCAATTTTTGATGAATATTTGATGTGTTAGGATTATTTAGAGATTATAAGCCCATATACTATAAATGCAATTTAGAGGATTTTAAGGGATATTTTTAGCCTTATAACTCATTTTGGAACCTAACCCTGTGTAAGACAAGAATCCAGTGTGTTCATTAGTCCAGTTGCTTGTGGGAGCTGGGGTGGGGTCATAAATTGAGGAGCCTATTTTGTTCAAATTTTCTGTGGTTAGTGATTTCACTGTAGCAGAGGCTAGTTTTACACATCTAGTTTTCTGTTTTGTCTCTCTTCTTCTCTAGGGACTTGGTAAGGTTTCATTTCACCTTCCTTTGAGTGCTCTTTCCCACTTCACTAGAGGAGAACTCGATTTTTTAAGATGACCGTTGCCCTCCACCTCTCCCTGTGGTTGTGTTTGCACTACAGAATGCTCCCATCTGCAGTAGCATTGCGAGTTCTATATAAAGCATCACCTCCCCTTTCCTGCTCTATGAATTTGAGTAAGACTTCTCAGTTTATTTTCAGTCACCTTGCACTCCTGTGTCAGAAGAGGGAACTGGAGTTTCATTCCTCGTCACCATCAGTGCTGGTTTCATGGGCCTGTGACCTACATGTTTGCACAGGGCTCCATGCTGAGAAGATACGCTTACTTTGTTTAAAGCTCTTCCACTATCATCTTTAACTTTTAAATAATTTTATCTTTGTGATTGTATTTTGTAAATCAAGTCCCATGGGACAGTGGAGCAGAGGAGATATAATATGTGAGTCTGCCATTGTTCCTGTGGTCCCATACACATGTAGTGTTCACAAAATTCCAGGGGACCCATAATGTGAAACTCAGTGGAAAAACAAGATAAACATCATATTGAAACTTTAACCTACTTAAAAAATTCCTACTTAGTCTGAAAATGACATAGAAGGAAAGAGAGAGGGTAGCCCATAAATTATTTTCCTTTCAGGTTTTCCTTACCCATCAATAAGCTGAAGGAAGAGAATGTTGGTAGGATATGTAAATGACAAAAAGTGAAATTTTTAAAGTTGAGCTAGTTTTGTGTAGTGTTTCTGCCTTTTTGAAAAGAATGTAATATGTATGCATGTGTGAGCTTGAAACACAAATGGCATTATTTTGGTGATTCTGCATATGAGCTAAATAATCCTATGTTTATATTTGTAACTGGCATTGCACAATATATGTATGGATAGCAATATCTGTGCTCTTGACTAAAAACTGTTAATTGTTCTTTTTGCTTAAAAAGACATTAAGTAGCAAATAAAACCACTGTGAAGAATTGAGAGAGAGAGACTGTGGGGGAAAGGCAAACACTGCATGTGCTTATACATTTAGTAACAACATTTCCCATGTTGTGAGAAGCAGTCCCAGATTTCATTCTGCACAGAACCCCATAAATTATATAGCCAGCTCTATGGCAAGCTGAGGGTCTTTGAAATCTCTCCTTAAGGGATACACAGAGGATTTCAATTACAGCTATAATATTTTATTATTATTAATGTATTTCTTTAAAAATTCTAAAGCAAATATGGCAAGGTATTATGATTTAAAATGATTGGTGGACAAGCATTCATTACTTACTCTCTAAAATTGTTTGTATGCTTGGACTATTTCACACAAACAATTCTCAGGCCAGGTGTGGTGACTTATGCCTGTAACCCTAGTGCTTTGGGAGGCTAGGGTGGGAGGATTGCTTGAGCCCAGGAGTTTGACACCAGCCTGGGCAACATAGCAAGACCTCCATCTCTACAAATTTTTTTTAATTAGCTGGGTGTGATGGTACACACCTGTAGGTCCTAGCTGCTTAGGAGGCTTAGGTTGGAGAGTTGCTTAAGCCCAGGAGTTCGGGGCTTCAGTGAGCCAAGGTTTCACCACTGAACTCCAGTCTGAGCCAGAGAGCAAGTAAACTTAAAAGAAACCCCAAAAGCCTTATTCTATTGAAGTAATATAATGAACAATGACAAGAAGTACATAAGAAGTAGATATGTAAGAAAAGCAAAAATGTGCATTAGAAAGTAAACCCTGTGCTCTCCTGCTTATGTCAAGTATCTTACCATGGTGACCTTGTGAGAATGAAATGTCAGAGTCAGTGTCAGTATGGATGCTGCCTCAGATGCGATTTTATCATCAGGTGAAGAGAGTTTCATCAGGAGACTCCGCACAAAGTCTGTCAGCAAGGAAGGCAGTAAGGTTTGTCCTACTGTCTGCAACCAAAAAGGAGAGTCATGACGTCAGTCCCTATACCAACATAAGACAGCTAAACTTAGACTTGGTGGGGGACATTCAGGAGCCAGGACTTCCATGGGCCATATGCATCTTGTTGGAGGCTCCTTCCTCTATGAAAAATATTAAAAATTATATTTTACAACAATGTTGGTACAAAAATGACTGAAATCCAAGTGAAATTACATTTATTTTTTTCTTCTGATTTTAAAGCAATTCAGCTGTTCAAATATTATCATGAATTTCTTCAGTTTTGAAAATGAGTTTGATTAGAAACAAGTATGAAGAAAGCAGACGATGCAGGAGGCGACAGGGTGAGAAAGTCGAGGGAACTCAAAGGCGTGGATGTTCCTCTTTCACAGAAAAGGATCAGGAAGCAGAAAGAAATAAAAGACCTTTGTGTCCATGATTGAGGTGTAAGAACTACAATTCAAACAATCCCTTTTCAAAGTTAGAGGACTATCCATAGATTATAAAATTGGAACAAAATCACATTGATTATAGATTTCTCAAAGAAAGATAAGTGAGCCAAATTTTATTTTTTTGCCTTTATGTGGAAAAAAAAGTCATTCTCCCAAGTACAGAAGATACCCAATCTAATCAATAAAAGTTTTCCTGCACCCTCTTTAAAGGGACAGAGTATTGCTGTTTTGGTCATGAGGCAGGACTAAGGTCTGCGTGAGAAATGATGATCACTAGCTCCTCTCCCACTGGGCAGACGGGTGATGGATGGGAATCTTGGAAAGCTATGGAAGAAGATTAGAGGAGGGTAACCAAGGCTTGGTAAGGTAGACTGAATATCATAGTTTGCCCTACTTTAAGAAAGCCAGATTTAATTATATCACACTGGATTTTTAAAAAATATTGGGAGGCAGAATACTCTCTTTTGAATATTTGCTTACTCAACAAAAAAATTTACTTTAGTATCTATCTAAAAAGTTGTAGAAGAGGCAATTCCCAGTGAAATTTAGAGCTAGTGTTAGAAGTTTCTGTCATGTACAGGTGAAGATGTGATGGTAGGTTACATAAAATTATAGGTTTGCTTTGTAAAATATGATCTACATATAACTCTCCAGAAATACACCAATCACACAGGATCAGCTGGACTCTTTAGAGGTCATTTTTATCTCTTCCTGCTTCTTACCACTATACCATTTGTTATATGTTCTAGATACCACTCACTTGAATGTTTGCATAATATACTATTAAGAGTCCACAGATTTTCATTTATTCCTCTATGTTTGGCATATGCTTTGATAAATCTGTGAAGAAACTCTTCTCACAAACAGTGGTATCATTTTGAGTTATTTCTTTCTATAAATTCCCATGAGTAAGAATTTAAAAGGAGCAAAAGCCTCATTATATTGAAGTGGTTATATTACCCTACTAGTTTATTTGGTATGAACATATATAAATATATATATTTTTAGTTAATGACACTTTTGTGGCTCTCTGTGACTCCTTTGCAAGACAATGTCCTCTGTTACAACTGACCACTCTATAAAAAAAGAGTGCTATCATTTGGGAATTGTTTTTTTTTGTTGTTGTTGTTTTTCAGTCCAACTCTCCCTTTTAATGGTGCATTGCTTCCAGCTTCCTTGGCTAGCAACCTTGCTGCTTCTACTCCTGTTTGCATGCTTTGAACTTTATCTTTGGTGATGGTCCTTTTGGTCTTGTTGCTATAACCTTGTATCCTCTCAATTTACCTGTTCCATCTACTTCTGGAAGTCCCACCTCTGGGTTTTCCAGCTACTGCTCCTGCATGTAGTGCTGGGCTTGCTTTGGTCTCACAATTGGGAAATGAATAACAGGTCATGAACACAAGGACCCAGGGTGCCTCCCCCAAGCCCAAGGACTTTTAAACCTGATGGACATTAAACTCAGATGAGCAAGGACACCAACCTAGAGGTTGTGATAAATCTCATGAACAGCTTGGAAGAGGCCCCAGCAGACTGCTGGTTCTAGGTTCACTAGCCCAGTCATGGTACTCAGAATTTTAATTCCAGGACACTGGGGTGGAGGATGGAAGGATGAGGGAAGATTTGCTAGTAAACAAACAGATGCTTGGTTTCTTTATGTAAATGAATGTAGTCAACCAGGCTTGAGATTTTTGAGGGGAGGTGGGAAAGAATAACTTTTGATTTTGGAAAGATGTACCATTGGGCTTCTACATATTTAAGACATCTATGCAGTATTTTTGACCTTATCGTGTTAGATGTATTGCTTCTGCATCTCCTCAGCCTCCCACAATTCTACCAATCTCAGCCATGGAAGAAGACACTGCTTTATACATGTAGTTTTAAGAGGAAATCCTAGATCTTCCCATCCCAAGAGATGAGCTAGCCTAAAGGGTTTCCCCAGAAGTTTTGCTAAACTGTTGGCTCAATGTGTGTGCCTGGAAGGTGCTGGACAGCCCAACCTGGCCCCAGTGCTGTATAACTTCTGGAGCTTATGGCTAAACTTATGTAGTTTGAAGAAGGTGAGGGAGTATATACAACTGTAGAGCCTCACGGTTCTCCCAACGGTTGAGACAGTGTAAAAACTACTTACTTGGTACTGAGGTTTATCATATAGGCTTTTTAAATTTTTATTTTTCATTTAATAGCTCTTCTAAACAAAATCAAAATAAATCACAGTGTCATTATGATGTTTGCAGAGTAAATTATGATAGTATTGGCAAGTCTGTTAACTGGTAAATTGTTAATTTTTCTAAATAAGCAGAAGTTCTCCATTTATAGTGAACTATTTGTTAGCCAAAGAAAAAGAAGTGTAACTAGGAAATACCTCATTTGCTTTCTATAAGGATTAATACAAATTAGTATATTTGGTAATACTAGGCATAATTATTACTATATAATAGAGATGAAAATCAGAAAACTAAATGGTCTCTAATCATTTACATTTTACCACACTGAGTTTAAAAGGAAATGAAAAAATACTAACAACATAAACTTTGTTGAAATAAATCGCTGCTAAGAATAATAATACATATAAACAAAGCCCCTGGAAAAAGTGGGGGCTAAGTTACCTGAGCAATTTCACGTTTGTTTTGTTGAAACTTCTTGGCAAGAACTTCTACATTAGAAGAAAGCAGGACGCTATGACTTTTACTGTCTGTAGGGTTACTTTTTCCAATATCCGCTGTGTTAAGCAAAAGAATTTAAGGTTGTTATTTGATCACTGATTTCTTCTATGGCATTAGTATTTCCAATTTTCTTTTCCTGCCCAGTTCTGGAGAGCTAAAGTTTTCTGATTATTTAACTCTCTGCTCATAGTTTAGTCTCACAAAATATTATGGCACTGACCCAGGATTCATAAAGCATTTAAGAGAGTCCATGTGAAATATGAATGAAGGACAAATACTTTTAAAAATAGACTGACAAGATGACAAATACAGATAGACCATCAAACGCACAGTTCAGTATGCTGGAAAAGCTAATGCCAAGCTGGAGGGTCTATTGGCAGGGAGAGAAGACTTGGAGGCATTTGAAAAATTGCTGAGGAGCAAACCGACAGAAGAGCAGAAGATCAAACACCGCATGTTCTCATTCATAGGCGGGTGTTGAACAATGAGAGCACATGGACACAGGGAGGGGAGCACTACACACTGGGGTCAGTTGGGGGGAAATAGGGGAGGGACGGTGGGGGGTGAGGAGCTGGGGAGAGATAGCAAGGGGAGAAATGCCAGATGTGGGTGATGGGGAGGAAGGCAGCAAATCACACTGCCACATGTGTACCTTTGCAACAATCTTGCATATTCTTCACATGTACCCCAAAACCTAAAATGCAATAAAATAAATGGGGGGGGAAAAAAAAAGAAAAAACGCTGAGGAATAGTAAATCAGGGAAGCCAGAAGTGCTCAGCAAAAGCTTCAGGTGCAGATAACTTCAGTTCCAGAGAAAGTGAGTTTTAAATGATTTTGTTTTTTTAAAAAATAGCTCTATAGAGATATAATTGTCATTTATTTATTTATTTTATTTTGTTTTTTATCTTTTTTGAGATAGGATCTAACTCTGTCACCCAGGCTGGAGTGCAGTGGTACAAACAGGGTTCACTGCAGCCTTGACCTGCTGGCTTAAGTGATCTTTTCACCTCAGTCTCCCCAGTAGCTAGGATTGCAAGCACATGCCACAATGCCAAGCTAATTAAAATATTTCATAGAGATTGGGTCACACTATGTTGCCCAGGCTCGTTTCCAAGTGATCTGCCCACCCAGGCCTCCCAAAGTGCTGGAATTATAGGTATGCACCACTGTGCCCAACCCATATAACATTTATAAAGTGCACAACTTGTTAAGTTTTTGTATATCTATACACTCAATAAAACATTACCAGAGGAAAAAAATGAACATATCTATTGCCTCCAAAAGTTTCCTCATGCTCTTCTGTAACCCCTCACACCTACTCCCCATACCCATCCTCTGACTCCAAGGCAACTACTGATCCACGTCCTGTCATCTGCTCTCTGTCAAGTTGGTACTTTCTAATTTTATATAAGTGAATCATACTGTATACACTTTTTTTTTTTTTTGGTTTGGCTTCTTTCACTGAGCAAAACTATTGAGATTTATCCATGTTGTTGTACATATTAATAGTTTGTTCTTTTTTACCAGTGAATAATGTTATTCTATTATATGTACATACCCAAATCTCTTTATCTATTTGCCTATTAATGGACATTCAGGTTGTTTCTGGTTTGGGGCTATTACAAATAAGGGTGTTATGAACATTCATGTATCAGTAAGTGTTTGTATGAACAATTGCTTTCATTTCTCTCAAGTAAATATAAAGTTGTGGAATGCTGAGGTCCCTTTCTTTGCTGTCTCCAAGTTGCGAAGGGAACATAAACCTTGAGATCACCCCAAAGTTGTGGTGGGCATCCCAGAAGTGCCAAGCCATAATCTAAAGCCAACACGCAAGTGGGAGAGGAGCCCACACTTTCAGGGCACTGAGAAGGAGCACAGCTGCAACTGTAAGGAAATATAGGGGTGTCACGACTGAGCAAGAGTCTACCAACTGACCACTATGCCTAAGTGCCATCAACCAGATCACACCCTAAAGCTTCAACATCAAAAATACCTCACTAACATGCTCATGAAACCAAAGATGAGAGTCAGTTTCAAATACAGACCCTGCACAAGGCTCAGCCCTTGAAGACATCCAGTCTACTGACTATACTCAATCTACACTACAGTTAAAGGAATATCCTCATGCAGAGCTGAGAAAGAACCAGTAACTCAAATGGCTTGAGTGTCTTATGTCCTCAATATGACTGTAGTAGTTCTCAAACAAGGGTTCTTAACCAGGCTGAGTTAACTGAAATTACAGAAATAGAAATCAGAATACGGATAGAAATGAAGATCATTGAGATTCAGGAGAATAGCAAAACCCAAGGAAACTAAGAATCACAATAAAATGATACAGGAGCTGACAGATGAAATAGCCAGTATAAAAAACCTAACTGGTGTGATAGAGCTGAAAAACACACTACAAGTATTTCACAATACAAATGCAAGTATTAACAGCAGAATAGACCAAGCTAAGGAAAAAATATTGAAACTTGAAGACTGGCTCTCTGAATTAAGATAGAGTGAAAAAAAGGAAACAACATGTAAAGGAAAGAACAAAACCATTGAGAAATACAAGATTATGTAAAGAGGCCAAATCTATGTGTCATTGCCATTCCTCCAATAGATGGAGATAAAGAAAACAACTTAGAAAACATTTCAGGATATTGTCCATGAAAACTTCCCCAACCTTGCTAGAGAGGTCCACAGTCAAATTCAGGAAATACAGAGAACCCCTGCATAGGTCTACACTAGAAGATCATCCCCAAGACACATAATGTCAGATTCTCCAACGTCAAAATGAAAGAAAAAAAAAATGTTAAAGGCACCCAGAAAGAAAGGGTGATCACCTACAAAGGGAAGCCCATCAGACTAACAGCAGAAACCCTGAAAGGCAGAAGAGACTGGGGGCCTGTAATCAACATTCTTTTATTTATTTTTTTTTTTTGAGGCCAAGTCTTGTTCTGTCACTTAGGTTGAAGTGCAGTGGTGTGATCTTGTCTTGCTGCACCCTCTGCTTCCTGGGCTTAAGCAATTATTTTTGCCTCAGCCTCCTGAGTAGGTGGAATTATAGGCATGTATCATCCTGCCTGGCTAATTTTTGTATATTTGGTAAAGATGAGGTTTCTCCATGTTGGCCAGACTAGTCTTGAACTCCTGGCCTCAATTGAGCCAACCACCTCAGCCTCCCAAAGTGCTGGGATTACAGGTATGAGCCTCTGTGCTTGGCCTAAACATTCTTAAAGAAAATAAACTTCAACCAAAAATTTTATATCTGGCCCAACTAAGCTTCCTAAGCAAAAGAGAAATAAGACCCTTTTTAGACAAGCAAATGCCAAAGGAATTTGTTACCACTGATCTGCGTGATAAGAGCTCCTCAAAAGAGCACTAAATATGGAAAGGAAAGACCAGTACCAGCTACAGCAAAAACACACTGAAGTATGCAGATCAGTAATACTATAAAGCAATTACACAAACAAGTCTGCATAATTAGCCAGCTAACATCATAATGACAGGATTAAATCCATGAATGTCAATATTAATCTTGAATGTAAATGGGCTAAATGCTTCAATTAAAACACACAGAGTAGCAAGCTTAATAAAGAACCAAGACCCAATGATATGCTATGTTCAAGAGACCCATATCACATGCAATGACACTCATAGGCTCAAAATAATGAGATAGAGAAAACTCTACCAAGCAAATGGAAAACAAAAGAAAGCAGGGGTTGCAATCCTAATTTTGGGCAAAACAGACTTTAAGCCAACAAAGATCAAAAAAGACAAAGAAGAGCATTTACATAAATGGTAAAGGATTCAATTTGATGAGAAGACCTAACTACCCTAAATATATATGCTCCCAACACAGAAGCACTTAGATTCATACAGGAAGTTCTTAGAGATCTTCAAAGAAACTTAGACTCTCACACAATAATAGAGATTTCAACATATCCCACAATAATACTGGGAGCCTTAAACATCCCACTGACTGTATTAGACAGATCATTGAGGCAAAAAAGGCCATTATCTTGAGTGAAATAACTCAAAACAGAAGTCAAATACCATAGGTTCTCACTTATAAGTGGGAACTACATAATGTGCACACATGGGCATAGAGAGCAGATTAGTAGACATTAGAGACTCATAAAAGTGAGAAGGTGAAAGGGAGTGAGAGATGAGAAAGTACCTAATTGGTAAAATGTACTTTATTTAGGTGATGGTTACTACTCAATATATCCATATAACAAATCAGCATTTGCACTCCCTAAATCTATTTAAAAAACAATTATGTCTCCTTAATTAATTGATTTCCTTTATCATTATGAAATGACTTTCTTTTTCCCTGGAAGAAGAATCCTTTTCTCTAAAATGTATCTTTTTATGATAATATAATACAGCAATTTCAATTTTCTTTTTTATTATTGTTAACATGTATCATTTTCTAACTTTTAACACTTAAATTCATTTGTGTTTTATATTTAAAGTGAGTTTCTTATAGGCAGCATATAGTTGAGGCTTGCTTTTTATTCAGTCTGACAATCTCTGCCTCTTCACTTGGGGCATTTAGAACATTTACATTTATTATCACTGGGTTTAAAATTTTTCTTATTTGTTTTCTATTTTTCTTGTTTGTTTTTTTCTATTCTTTTTTACCTTATTTTGAATTGTTTTCTATGATTCCATTTTATCTTCATTTTGGCTTATTATATATAACTCTTTGCTATATTATCTTAGTGGTGGCTTTAGAGTTTAGATGATTCAGCCTTATCACAGTTTACTTTCAAGTGCTATTTTATAACTTTGTGCATAGGAGGAGAATTTTAAAACACATTTACACATTTTTCTCCTTTAAGTCTTTGTGTTCTTTTTCTTTTTTTATTGTACTTTAGGTTCTGGGGTACATGTGTAGATCATGCAGGATTGTTGCATAGGTACTCACATGGCAAGATGGTTTGGTGCCTCCATCCACCTGTCAACTACATCTGGCCTTTCTCCCCGTATTATCACTCCCCAACCTCCCCATCGCCCCCCTGTCCCTCTCTTGCCCCCCTGACAGACCCCAGTGTGTGATGCATCCCTCCCTGTGTCCCTGTGTTCTCATTGTTCAACACCCGCCTATGAGTGAGAACATGCTGTTTGATTTTCTGTTCTTGTGTCAGTTTGCTGAGAATGATGGTTTCCAGGTTCATTTATGTCCCTACAAAGGACACGAACTCATCATTTTTATGGCTGCATGTTATTCCATGGTGTATATGTGCTACATTTTCTTTATCCAATCTATCATTGATGGACATTTGGGTTGGTTCCAACTCTTTGCTATTATAAACAGTGCCGCAATATACAAATATTTTTAAGCTTTATTCTAAAATACAATTAAATTACTTGGAAATAGCTTAATACTTTCAGGTCTTGCTTTTATGCTTTGTTAGACAAACCATAACAACATTTATTTTAATCCTAGGCTGATTTTTCTCCACCATTGAAGCAATAATCTTCTGAGTAGTCTACCAGATGCTCAATTAGATGGAAAAAAATATCATTTTTAAAGTCCCATTGGTAAACTCTCTCCTTCTTTTTCCTCCTGGACTCCACCCACCATTCCTTTCCCCACCATTAACACCCAAGAAATGTAAGAATGGTGCTTTATAAATCTTGAAGAACCAACCACACTATTACCAGAATTTCTTGACAATGCTAAAAACATTAAAAGACACATTTTAGAAAGTAGAGCTATAACTCTTAGGGCAGGATTTAGAAATTTACAAAGATAGAGCCTTCCCAGGACCCATAAATTGAATAATGAGGAACATATTCTTAGTAATCCTGAGAAAATATGGTGAACCATTCTTACCATGCTGACATTTTGCAATGTCAAAGAGGTGACACATTCCCAAAGATGCTTGTTGTGCAATCAAGGAATCATCATGGGAACACAAAAGAGACAGCTCTGCTGCCAGGACACCCAAACATGGAGCATCAACACTTGTCTAATGGAGAAACAAAGGAGAACATGCATTTGCTATGCATAGCCAACATGAAATGTCTGCATGCATCTGATCCTGTTATAAATCAAACTAAGATTTTAAGATAAGCTGCAGAATTTACAATATCTGTAATCAAATCCTGGCTCTGTTACTGACTTTCAATTTCCTTATTATGACAGGATGATAATAAATTCCACTTTTTAACTGTTATTTTGAAAAGTAAGGGGTAACAGTGATGACAAGAAGAAAAATTCCTAGAAAAGTACTTGGACATAATGGTGACTCAACTAATGTTAGTCTCTGTGTGATGAAGTGGGTAGCCATTTGCGGGTAGCCAATTCCCAAGATATGGAAAAGTAAGGTGGGATGTGTATTTCCGAAAGCTTTAGTGCTTCCTTCTTTACATACGAAGCACTAGGTGTTATTTATTTATTTATTTATTTATTTATTTTAATTGCATTTTAGGTTTTGGGGTACATGTGAAGAACATGCAAGATTGTTGCATAGGTACACACATGGCAGTGTGATTTGCTGCCTTCCTCCCCTTCACCCATATCTGGCGTTTCTCCCCATGCTATCTCTCCCCAACTCCCCATCTCCCACTGTCCCTCTCCCATTTCCCCCCAACAGACCCCAGTGTGTAGTGTTCCCCTCCCAGTGTCCATGTGTTCTCATTGTTCAACACCCGCCTATGAGTGAGAACATGCGGTGTTTGATTTTCTGCTCTTGTGTCAGTTTGCTGAGAATGATGGTTTCCAGGTTCATCCATGTCCCTACAAAGGACACAAACTCATCATTTTTGGTGGCTGCATAATATTCCATGGTGTATATGAGCACTAGGTGTTTTTGCAAGTCACTGAAGAGGTATGACTTTTCCTCTGGAAGTTGTTCTGACTCCTCTCAGGGAAATTCATTTTTTAAAATGCAGAGCATTTGCTTTTGATGTCAAAGCTACTACCAGAACATTTCTGTATTTCCTTCTGCAACTTCTTCAACACTTAGACTGGTCAAATATTTAATTTTCATCTTAATGGACCTGTTTGGCTAGATCAAATCCAAATAGAGAAGGGAATAGAGAGAGAAAAGAGGAAAGGTAGAAGGACATTTGTCTTTATGAAAGTATGAGGGCCCTTTACCAATTTTGTGTGTCTTTTTTTAGACAAGGAAGGGCTCTGACCATATGTAGATTTGGTAAACTGGCAGCATGGCTTGCAAATAGTTCGTGCCTCCAAGACAAAATTACTTTTCTTAGCTAGAGGCTTTGATGATTGGAGCAATGGTTGATGGTAAACTCTAGGGGCATCCCAAGGCCTGCTTCTGCTTCTTTTGACCTTCTTCGTGCCCCATTTTCCCTGCCCTTCACATGGCTTAACTCACCACTCCCTGCCTGCTCTGTCTCTCTCACACACACACAAATTCCTAAGGAAGAAGTGTGAAGTGATTTGGATCATCTGGGTCATGGGCCAAGGCTGTAATTGAATTGTGATGTGGGGATTGATGGTCTCAGTAGGAGAAGAGAGTTTATAAATCTCTTTCTTCCATGAATATTCTCCTTGTACTCTTTTCCACCCATACAAAGAGTGGCCTGGTCCTTCCCCTTTTAGCAGCTGTGTGGCTTAGGAGACTCTGGGAGCAGATAGTAGCAATGCCTCTGCTCTAGGCCCTAGGAAAAATGCTCTCTTTCCCTGGATGTCCTTTTCTTTGGATTTGTATTCCATGTTGTTTTTTTACACTTGATGGCAAGATCTTAAAAACCATCATTGTGTATAGGCATGAGAAAAAGGAGCAAGTTTTCTGTCTCTACTGGGCATGAGAGAAGAGGAGTACTTCTCGCAGCGTAACTTACTGAAGCTGAGCACCACTTATAGGGGATTGGCCTTACAGTCATCTTACATTACTGGTATTGCCTCAAATGTCCTCTGATTATCCCTGCTCAGGAACTTGTTAGACGTATAGTTCTTCGTAGATGTTTTTGTTAATGAAGCTCTTAGTGGTTTCCTTCTGTTCTGTTTGCCAGTTAGGATCTACCTAGGTGTATGTCTCTAGCAAAGTATGTGTGGTCTTGCCTAGACTGCATTTCCACTTACTGTCACCAACTAAAAAGGCATGCTGCAGGAGTGGGACCTGACCCAGGGTAGGCTGAGAGAGTAGTAAGGCAGCATGGATTGTGGAGCACCCTGATCCTGCACAGCCCCTTCAGAAGTGTGACAACCACATTTACCCTTCCTCTAAGACAAGATTTTGAGAGCTTTCAGTATGATATATCCTGCCTTTATAGAAAATCTACCCAATTACTAAAAAGAAGCAAATAGTTAAAAACTGGAGAAAAGTAGCTTCTCAGTATTCACTCCTAAACCTAAATATTCCTGCTGAGTTTTCTGTCCCTTTTTCCTGTGCCCTTTCTTTGTAGATCTGGCCTCTCCAGTCCCTTATCTTAGCAATAATGATAAAACAAGTGCTAGATTCCAGAAGCAACCGATTCTAACATTTTCAGCTGCTTCTTCTGGAAGTAACTCCTATTTCTCTAAACAATGTACCTTTGCTTCTGTTTCTAACATCAGTTTGAGACATTGTCTGTCTCAATTCCATCCCTCCACTTTGTCACAGTTCTCTCAATAGAGAACATTACTTATCATAGTATATTATTTTTAATTCTTCTACCTTTGTGTTTTAATAATATGTTACTACTTTTGTTTCTTGTTTCATAGAACAGAAAAACAGATTAGGAATATAATAATAGGATAAAACATAACAACAGAATAGGAACATAAGTAGAAACATACAAAATGTAGCCTTTTGTGCCTGGCTTCTTTGACTTAGGATAATGTTTTCAAGGTTTATGCATGTTGTAGCATGTATACAACTTTCTTTTTTTGAGTAATATACCATATGAGTATGTTACATTTTATTTGTTCATTTACCTGTTGATGGACATTTAGATTGTTTGCACTTTTCAGCTATTGTGAATTTTGTTGCAGTGAATACTTTGTACAAGTTTTGTTTGAACACCCGTTAAATTCTTTCAGGTATATACCTAAGATTTCTAGGTCAAATGACAATTCTGTGTTTAACTTGTTGGAGAACCAGTAAACTATTCTCTGTTCTTTTATTTTTGCATTTTTGAGCTCATAGCATTTACACTGTATTCAGTAACTCATTTAAGTTTCCCCGTGCTTTGTTTGTAGATTAATTCTAAAAGTTGAAAATCAATAATATGGTGTCACCGTGACTAGGTAAAATTATTCAATGTCTAGGTCATGCTCACTTTAGTTATATCTCCTTTTGGCATGTGCATATGTCTTTCTTATCTCTACCCTGCATTATCTCTTTTATTTTTAAAAATATTTTTATTTGTAATTTTTCTTTTGAGATGGGGTCTCACTCTGTCATCCAGGCTAGAGTGCTGTGATGTGGTCATAGCACACTGCAGCCTAGAACCCCTGGGCTCAAGAGTCCTTCTGCCTCAGGCTCTCAAAACACTGAGGTTATAAGCATGAGCTATCTCTCTGTCTTTAATAGTAATTTTTTTTCTTTATTTACCTTTGTCTGTCTCTTTTATTTGGAAAGTTTCCCCAAATTTCACAAAGCATGGTTTCTGCTTCTTATTTAAGGATGTAATGCCTCTTGATGGGGTTTTGTGTGTGAGCAAGGCTTGCTGCCTGGTATACTTTGTTTTAGAGCAGCTAGGAGTGGAGAGTGGGATCATGCTGTAGTATGTCTAAACAGAATGCAAGAGTCTTTTCTCAGGGAACTTAAAAATGGTTTTTGCAAAATAAAATTTTCAACTTCTGTCTGCCAATGTGCGTCAAGAGGAATGGGAGACAACATAGGTTCTTCTGTATATTGTATATGTTTTCAATTAATCCTTTGAATTAATGCATATGTTTTCAGCCTGCTTTTGACTCCCACCCCTTATCATTATTTGGCCTTTCATAACTCACTCTCTAGGGTTCTACAGGGAAAACTGCTTTTCTTTCAGCTAACTCCCATCCTACTGCTCATGGGTTCCCACCATTCAGTTCCCCTTCCAGGTTTTATCTTCTACCTAATGTGTCTTCTAGAAATTTGTTGGCATCACTAGCCCATTGAAAACACTTCATTAATTTTCTTTGTTGCTGTGTATTTATACCTTTAACAAATTTTTATTACCATCATTTTGTGAGGACTCTGGATAAGTAGGATATATACACATGTGGACAACTTGTTAGATTTAGCTGGAATCCTCCATTCATTTTTAAATGCTGATGTAGCAAAGGAACAAAGCTAGGGAAAAAAATCTTTCTGTTAATGCTATAAGTTGGCATGCTTAACTTACCTTTCTTTGCCTGTTGAAAGTTTAATTGAAGAAATACGTGCTTTGAGTGTAGGAGTTTCTCTACCCTGATGGACACATGAGTCATGTGAGACAAATTATCACTTTAAAAATACTTATGACAAGATAAAAATGATAGAATTGTTCAATAGGACAAGAATCTGTGACACTCTGGAGGACCTAGGCTAGAGTTATTTTGAAGAAAAAGGTCTATTCAATGTAGGAACAGTACCAGAGAACAAATGAGGTGGCTGCACTTAGAGAAGGGTAGAACAAATATTCACTGATGATCTACAGTGTGTCAGATAGATGCATAGACTAGGGCTGTGGGAATCTTAGATTTTAATTTGTCCACAATATTTTTAAATTTTTTTTGTTTTGTGTATTTGCCTCCCCAATTAATCACCTGGCTTTATCATCTTTACAAGACATTATTTTAAAGAGAAAGCTAACAGTGAAGTTTTATGCTTCCCTGATTGTGATGAGCTGGTTGATTCTATCTCTAGACAGTTTCAGTGTTCTGAAAAATGCTGAAGTACTTCCACCTGGTGGCACCTAGTGAACATTGCAGAACAGTGTAATAGTTTATTCCATTTGAGTTCTCGAACAAATCTGAGTTATGGCTAGGAACCCTCAACTAACAATATATGAGAATTTTCTGCTACACATGTGAGTTTGCATATTTATTCCTTTGCAGTTGAAGAATGGGATGTATGCATAGGAGAGTAAATTCTACTACAGTAATGGAAAGAGGTGATAGAAGATGAAACTCCAAAATGTCTATCTACTACTTGAGTGGAACTCACTAGAATATATCAAATGCAGAGAGAAACATGTGACTAGGCCCTAGTCAAACAACTGTCATCAAATACTTGCTGTGTATATAACACATTTCAGGAGCTGTGTAGGAAACAGTCTTGAGTGGTGAGATACCCTTAATCTCAAGACTCATTTGCAAAATTTTCAATGGTGAACCTTCTAGGCATTTAAATGGATAACTCAAGCTATTTTAGAAGTTACAGAAAGGCTGCCTTCCAAGATCAGAGAATCAGAAGATTGAAATAAGCCACTCTGTCTCTCTTTTGGACACTAAAATAGGGAATCTGCATGCTGCAAAGAACATCCTGGACTATATCCCCTATCCAAGTAAATTATCTTATGTTCCAAAGCTGAGTTTAAACAACCTGGTAAAAACTCAGATACATTACAAAGCTAATCTAGATTCTTCATCTCAATAAATCTGGGGACTCTTTGTACAGGCAGGAGAAAGTGGATAAATATAACATCATGAATGTATGTTTCTTGGCCTCTTTACTTTTATCTCTCCTCCTGAAGTGACTCCAGCAATCAGGTAAGTAATTAGCAGAGGATGTTTAAAAATCACTGTGAAGGATGAATTGGGAAACAGAGGCTGAATATACAGTATCCACAAAAGAGGAATGTTCATAGATAGTATAAGCTTTCTGAGAAGGCAGACCACAATGTTATTCAAAGTAGAGACAAACTCAGTAAATATTGGCTATTATGAGATAACTATTTGTTCTCCATCTGAAATGCAAAAATTAAAAAATCTGATTATATCCCGGTGTTTGTGAAGGTGTGGGGAAATGGGCCCTTTAATATTTACAAGAATGCCAATTGGTGGACAATTTTGTGTTACTAAACTTTACCTTATCATACTTCTTTATCTGACCATTATCTTACTAAGTATTTCCAGGTACACATTCATGTACTTGCACAAAGATGCCCATTCTGTATTGTTTGAAGAAGAAACAATTAAATGATACTTTAACATCCATTAACTGAAAAATAGGTAAACAGATCATAATATGTCAAAAACATGGGCTATATACTGTATTTTAAATAATAAAATGAATCTACATATGTTGACATAAAAATATCTGCAGGATGTATTGTTTCAGTGAAAAAAGCAAATTGCAGAACCATATGTAAAAATAACTTTAGTAAAGAAACAATAAGTAATAAAGCTATGTATTTCAGTGTGTGTATGTATATGTAGATGTATACATTAAAAGTGGTTTGGTAGGACACACATCATGCTGACATGGCTAAGGACGGGTTGGTGTGGAGAGGATAGTAAAGGAAGACTTATGCCCCACCTCTAGCATGTTTCACAATGAAAACTTGAGGATTACTTGTGTAAATTTAAAATAGTTAAATAACAGCTTTCAAATTATTTTAGGAAAAGTATGTAAGAAGACAGGTAAGGTTGGAAGAATTTACGAAATTACAAACTGTGGTCTACAGAGAAAATTTCAGAGTCGGCAAGAATCTGCTTTTGACATACTCATGCTGTTTGCATAAAGGATAATGTATCTTAACCAATTGTTTGAGAAACTCTGTTCTGATTGACACAAAGTCATATAGGATATTGACTCCTTTTCTGAAATCCCAACCAACCTACCAGTACAATAGTACCAAGGAGCTGTCAAGTACTCTTAGGACCCAAGACATGGAAAGCAGCACTATAGAAATGCAGTCTTCAGAATCAGGTGGCATTGTTATACTCTGTGACTTACACATCTTCTGGCTTTCCAGGCTGCAAATTTTAACACCGTGTTGATGATGATCATTATTCTGTCTTGCAGGTATGAGCTATCTTCACTCATCCACACGAGTATTTCCTGTTGGAAACACAAAAGTCACCCTAGAACCATGAACTTTTCATTTTCCAGGAACCTTTCCTCTATTCTCTGACTTCACCAATTCAGGCATTCCTACAGTCTCCTGATTACTTCACACTCAACCTACATTTATCTCAAAAACACAGACAATAAGCATCTAATATACTACTTCATCTACTATATAAACTGTATCTGGGTTTTATTTTATTTTATTACATTAAAAATAGTTACTAATATCCACTATAATAGTCACTGCATTAGGCACCATGAAAAGTTCAACATGAAGCTATGATATGGTTATCAGCTGCTTTGCATCCTCTTTTTCTTTCAAAGTATGTATTCTCCCTTTTATTTTTAAATGGCAAGCTGCCTTTCAGCTTCAAAAGAGACTTAAATTCTTGTCTGAATCTGCAGTATCATCTTATTCCAGAATTCCTCTGCTAATTTACCACTCAAATATTCTGGCTCATACTTAGAGAGTATGTTACTGGAGGTAGGTTGGTGAGAAAGTTCTTGTACATTTTTATTCAAATCTGTCTTGCTGTACCTTCTAGTTCTTTTTTTTTTGAGACGGAGTTTCACTCTTGTTACCCAGGCTGGAGTAATGGCGCGATCTCGGCTCACTGCAACCTCTGCCTCCTGGGTTCAGGCAATTCTCCTGCCTCAGTCTCCTGAGTAGCTAGGATTACAGGCACGCGCCACCATGCCCAGCTGATTTTTTTTTTTTTTTGTATTTTTAGTAGAGACGGGGTTTCACCATGTTGACCAGGATGGTCTCGATCTCTTGTCCTCGTGATCTACCCGCCTCGGCCTCCCAAAGTGCTGGGATTACAGGCGTGAGCCACCGCGCCCTTCTAGTTGTTCTTAATCCTCAGAGGCAGGGACACACTTACACCCTTGAGTGGGGAAGAATACTGCATATGCCTCATATGCCAATCGCCATTAATAGTCTTTTTTAAGGCAATCTGTCAGGGTCTACTATATTTATGTCAATGGTTGGCCAGACCTCTTCACCTTCTCTTACTCCCATTGTAAAAACTGATGTCTATTTCCTAAGGTGAAAGAGTTTCTAAATCTCAGAAGGGTCAACCTCTGCCTTGTCCTTTTCAGGAGTGAGGTTCAGCCCTTTTTGAGAATGAGGGGAGCTTTTAGGCATGGTAGGTATTAACAAAGTGGTTAAGTAACAGGCTTCCAAGTTAGAGGGGTTCTCCACACATTAGCATTATACATATTATTGCTCCTTTCTCTGTTTTTATTTTTTTATCTGCTAAATGAAAGAAATAATAGTAATACCCTCAAAGGATTATTTTAAGGATTAAATGAGAAAACCCACATATTCAATTTAGTGCTTGATATGGAGTCAATGCTTAACTCAATAAATGGAAGCTACTGATAGTGGCATGAGGTGAATAAAAAAGCATGCATGGGTGGGGAAGAGGAGGATTTATAATTATCATGAAGAGCTGTGAAGATAACTTTTTAAAACTTTTAACTAAGTTCAGGCATATATGTGCACGTTTTTATATAGATAAACTCATGGTATTAAGCCTAATTAGTTATTTTTCCTGATTCTCTCTCTCCTCCAAATCTCCACCCTTTGTTAGGCCCCAGTATCTGTTGTTCCCCAATATGTGTCCATGTTTTCTCATCACTTAGCCCCCATTAATAAGCGAGAACATGCAGCATTTGGTTTTCTATTTCTCTATTAGTTTGCTAAGGATAATGGATTCCAGTTCCATCCAAATTCCTGCAAAGTACAGAATCTCATTCTTTGTATGGCTGCATAGTATCAAATGGTGTATGTGTGCTACAGGATTTTTATCCAGTCTACCATTGGTGGCTATTTAGCTTGATTCCGTGTTTTTGCTATTGTGAGTAATATTGCAACAAGTATATGCGTACATGTGTCTTTATGATAGAACAATTTATATTCCTCTGGGTATGTTATACTTGGTAATGGAATTGCTGGGTCAAATGGTATTTCTGTTTTTAGGTCTTTGAGGAATCACCATGCTGTTTTGTACAATGGTTGCACTAATTTACACTACCACCAACAGTGTATAAGCATTCCTTTTTCTCTACCACCCTGCCAGCCTCTATTGTTTTTTTGACTTTTTAATAATAGCCATTCTGACTAGTGTTAGTTGGTATCTCATTGTGGTTTTGATTTGCATTTCTTTAATGATCAATGATATTGAGCTTTTTTTCATAGGCTTGTTGGTCACATGTATGTCTTCTTTTGAAAAATATCTGTTCATGTCCTTTGTACACTTTGTAATGGGGTTGCCTTTTTCTTGTAAATTTAAGTTCCTTATAGACACTGAATATTAGACCTTTGTTAGATGCATGGTTTGCAAAATTTTTCTCCCATTCTGTATGTTGCCTGTTTACTCTCTTGATAGTTTCTTTGACCGTGCAGAAGCTCTTCAGTTTAATTAGATATCATTTGCCAATTTTTGCTTCTGTTGCAACTGCATTTGGTATCTTTTTCAAGAAATTTTTGCCCATTCCTATGTCCAGAATGGTATTGCCTAGGCTATCTTCCAGGATTTTTATAGTTTTGGGTTTTACATTTAAGTCTTTAATCTATCTTGAGTTAATTTTTGTATATAGTGTAAGGAAGGGGTCCAATATCAATCTTCTGCATATAGCTAGCCAATGGATAACATTTTTTAAATGCACAAAACAAGTTGGCTCAAATTAGGCACAAATTAGCCCAATACATTTTATTTTCCTTCACATTCATTTTTGTCTTTATAAATACCAATACAGCATTTTTTTTTTTACTTGTGTGTATTTATGATTTGTACAACTCATAGATGCTCCTGGTAGGATAAATCAATCTGTTTTTCCAGTACTTCCAGACAGCTGGCCTCTGATGCCAACATGTTAGGAATGCAAAATTGAGGACCATAAGACATGCAGTGCAGTCTTTGTCTCTAGTGGGGACTATATATGTGAAGACCATCTGTCTGTGGTTGGGACATTAAAAAATACAGTGAGGTCTTAGTTGTGAAAAATAGGGTTTTGAATTGTTGTTAGGTCTTCTTTAGATATAGTACTATCCATGAAAATAGAATTTCAGCTTTTTCTTTAGCACCTGAGTTGATGAGGAAAAAGGATGCATACAGTTACACAGCATAGTTTCACTGTTATGTGAACTTGAGGGTAGTTTAGGCTAATACTACTCTCTAATGCTATTCTCTGCTACATCATATTGTGTTCACCCATGTATCACCATATGAGACCTGGTTTCTCAAGTACCTGTTGATGCTGTCCTCCCCAAATTAAATTCCTAAAAGTGTACTTCTGTAATTCAAATAAAGGGAAGTGACTTCATTTTACTCTTTGGTGGTAAAGAAAAACTTTCAGCTGTCAAATACTTGAAGGAGATGCAAATATAGCAAATGATAAAATAGTGAAGCATAGTAAGCATACTAGCTTTATGACAAGAAAATAAAACTACTTATTTCCCCTTTACCTTTAAGATCTGTAGTTTGTAGAAGTCTGTAGTTACCAAACTCAGAAGGCTGTATTCAAACATATTTAAAATATTTTGGTATAAATTCTGAAACACAGAAACATTGCACAGTCAGCAGCCTTAGATAAAACTTTACCTAATGTCTATAGTTTTTTTCTTACTTAAAAGTTGCTTTTAACTGGGTTTCAATTCCTTGAAAATCAATCAGTGAGTGACACAGAAACTACTTAACATCAAATTGTAAAATGCCACAAACATTTAAAGAATTTTAGCATTATCTCAGATATTTAAAAATACACAAAGAAAAAACACAAATGAAAGCATAAAAATGTAATTTTCTTTGAGAAATACAATGAGTATTTCTTATTTAGTGGTGTTCTATAATCTTTAAATTTTCTGTAATAAGTATCTACCATGTTTATAGGAGGAAAAGCTAAAATTTAATTTTATAAAAACTTGCTTTTCTGTGCTTTTGAATGCATTTTCTCAACATTGTTTGTGCTTAAATGTGATTTTGCTTGAGAACTCAGTATGTTGGATTTATTTTTATTGGATGCATGATTTTAAGTTCAGTTTCAAAAAGAACATAGGCTTGGCTAATAGATTTCCCCCTTGTTAGAAAAAGTTTTATTTCCTATTTTAATGATGAACATTTAGAAAAATTCTCACCTTTAAAATTTTACATTTTCTCTTGCTTTAGCTGTTAATAGATTATCTTTCTACAGCATGTTTTGAGATATTCTTGTACATATACTTTTCAATTTTCCATTGTCTTTTAAAATGTAATAACACAAATATATTTTATTCTAACTGTTGCTTTAAGTTCATTGAAAGCAATAATTTGTGAATAGCTGCCTGAATAGTTCTGATGGAAATGGACAGTAATTGCTATTTTAAGTGCTGCTTATTACTATATTTCTATAAAAAAATAGACTTTTATGCCTTTGTGATTTTAAATAGAAGACTCAAGCATGATGTGACTTGATTCTTATTTTAGCTGACACCTACAAGTTACCCAAACATCATATTTAAATATAAGTCAGACCAGGCACAGTGGCTCACACCTATAATCTCAGCAATTTGAGAGGCCAAGGTGGGAGGATTACTAGAGTTCAGGAGTTTGAGACCAGCTTGGGCAACATAGTGAGACCTGATTTCTACGAAAAATAAACAAAATCAGCGAGGCATGGTGGTGCATGTCTGTAGTCCTAGCTATTTGAGAGGCTGAGGTGGAAAGATTGCTTGAGCTCAGGAGGTAGAGACTGCAGTGAGCCAAGATAGTGCCATTGCACTCTAGACTGGGTGACAGAGCAAGACTCTGTCTCAAATAATAATAATAATAATAATAATAATAATAAATATTGAATACATTTTATATCTAAATAGATGGAAACAGATTTATTGTTCCACACATTATGTAGGTACTGGAAATTATATTCTATGTGGGCATTGGAAATTTCCATGTGTGAATAACTGATATATAAAATATATGTAACATTAATAAACATGGGGCATTTGGATGTTGAAATGTTATATAACAACACATTTTTTTCTTTCTAGTATTGGAAGAAGGGTTTTATTTAACTCAAATTATTTTTCTCCTCCCAACTACCAGAGTGGTCTTCAGCAGTAAGAAGTAAAAGTATCTCTGGGTATTCTCAGGTGGCCACCTAGGAATATTTGGAAGAGGTCAAGTTGGAAAAGAATTGCACATTTGTGAAAATTAGCAGCCTACAAATCTGTGTGAGGGATATAGAAATATAGCTAAGAAAGTTTCTACATTAAAGTCACCTTGCATCGATTGCAGAAAAGACTATCATTCTCTGAGATGTATATAGAAGCTCTTATAAAAAGAAATAATTAGCCTGATAGTTTTGCATCTGAGTGTTCTAAGTTCTCTCCACAAACTGAAGAAAGGAGAGAGGTGGCTATGCTGAGAGCTCACCCTGTACCATATGCCATGAATTTCTTCTCTACCTTATAGAGCAAATTCACTGTATAGCAATGGTAAAGAAATGGAGACCACAGATGTTTGCTAATCTTACTATAGGATTCTTCCTACATCCATCTTTCTCTTTTCCTGTTCCGTTCTTTGAGGGACTTGCCAGCAAACTCCCTATTCTTGATAAACCAATTAACCAAAAATATCTTTATCCATTTGCTCCTATAAATCCTATAGAATCCATTAAAATCCCATGGGTTGTAGAATTCACAGGGGGTCCAGGGGTATAGATTAGTGCACTGACTATTATAGCTAAAAGAGTGAAGAGGAGGACTATAAAGATTATAATGGGCTGAGACATATTCTGCAGGATTGCTGTGATGTGTAATAATGTCCTATATTGATTAAAGGAAGAAAAATTTTACCTCCAGGTCCTCAATGTCCTCATTGCTGCTCCCCAATTGTTTTACTTTGTCAAGACTTGGCATGGAAGCTAGCATTCTAAAGGATGACTCTATTTTCTTCAACTGAGATTCAAACTGCCTTAAGGGATCCACAAAGCTGACAAGAAAAAAGGCATAATTATTAATGATGACAGAACAAATGTAAGCAAAATTTAGTGGCTATTTCTTAGTGATAAGCAAAAATGAGGTTCAGCTTTTGGCTTTATATGACAGATGAGTCTTAAATATTCTCTTAAAAATGATAATGTTTTAAATATAAAGGAATTAATTTCTTTGTATTATCTATAAACAGTTATTTAGAAATCAGAATACATTTCTCCATAATCATAACAATGCAAAGAGTAGTTACATTCCCAGCCAATTTCACAAAGCCATGCTAAGCTTAAACAACTGAACTATATTACTGCCACGTTTCTGTAATGATTGATAATATATTTTTCACATCTTAGTATTTCTTACATTGAGATGCATCTTCAAATTGATGGCAAATGAAGCTTGCCTCAGAAGCTAGAAAGATTATCTGCATGTCTATGCAATACAGAAAGACTGAGAAAGAGTATGAGAAAGAAATAATAGTTGCCAAATTATGATGGTGGAATTTGGAGTAATTTCTTATTTTTCACTATTGTATGTTTTTAAAGATATAACATTTTAAATACATCCAGTTAGTGCAATAAGAGAGCATAATAGCTTATCATACCTGGAGTTCATGGCCAGGATCACGGATTGATTACTTAACAGCCCTGAGTATATATCCACTAGGCTTCTAGCTTCATGTGCCTAAGTACCACATTAAAAAAAAAATTAATGATTACAGAGCAGTGAGACTCATAATAGCATGTGTACTTCTCCCTTTTACCAAGATTAAAGGAACCAAATCAGACTGGAAAACACACTCAAGAGTTCTTAGAAGTGTTGAGACCAAATTGTAATTTAAATCTACAATAGTACGTTTGCCTAAGTGGAGGTCTTTTACAGTCAACCACTATTCTTATACAATTTGCATTTCCAGACAGCATTTTGTTAGGTGTGTTCTTTACCAGGTGCATTTCTGTACACCAATATAACTGTTAAGTCCCATCTACTCAGTGCGGAGATTGCCGATAAAAATGCCAGCTGGGTGATTTAAATAAGGCCTTATTAAAGAATGACTAAACTTACACTATAGAATAAGAACCATTACAGGACAATGTGCAGCTGTTGAATACAAAATTTAATCTTTAAAGTGGTAATTAAAAGGATTCCACTAAAAATTTATTATTCTTTTTTCCAAGAAACTGGAGAACTTAGACCTCCAATAGCCAAAACAATCTTGAGAAAGAACATGGAGGTATCACAGATATGATTTCAAGCTATCATATAAAATTAAGTAATTAAAATTGTATGGATTTCTATAAAAACAGACTCAAATCTAATGAAATAGAAAACCCAGAAATAAACTCATTAATATATGGTCAACTAATCTTTGATAAGGGAGTCCAGAGTTTCCAGTGGGTAAAGGATAGTCTCTTCAATAAATGGTGTTGGGAAAACTGAATATCCACAAACAAATAAATGAAATGGGACCCTTATACCATATACAAAAGTTGATTTGAAATGGATTAAAGACAAATGGAAGGATGTGAAGCTGTAAACTCCTAGAAGAAAACATAGGGAAAGAGTTTCTTTATATTGGTTTGGGCAAAGATTTTTTGGATATGACATAAAAAGCACAGGCAATGAAAGCAAAAGTAAACAAGTGGGACTACATCAAACTTCAAGCTTCTGCATAGCAAAGAGAACAATAAACAAAATTTAAAAAATGCAACTATGGAATGGGATAAAATATTTGTAAAACATAAATCTGATAAGGGGTTAATATCCAAAATGTATTCAAAATGTAACTCATGCAATTCAATGGCAATAAATAAATAAATAAATAATAAATAAAAGTAAATCAGATAACCCAAATACAAATGGGCAAAAGACCTGAATAAAATATTTTCCAAAGAAGACACGCAGAAAGCAGTCCCTTGAGAACTGGAACAAGACAAGTACACCCACTCTCACCACTCCTCTTTAACATAGTACTGTAAATCCTAGCCAGAGCAATCAGACAAGAGAAAGAGATAAAGGGCATCTAAATTGGCAAAGAAGAAGTCAAACTGTCTCTGTTTGCTGACAATATGATTGTTTACCTTGAAAACCCTGAAGACTCCTCCAGAAAGCTCCTAGAACTGATAAAAGAATTCAACAAAATTTCCAGGTACTGGAATTATGAACACAAATCAGCAGCTATTCCACACACTAACAGCGACCAAGTGGAGAATCAAATCAAGAACTCAACCCCTTTTATGATAGCTGAAAAACAACAACAAACAAACAAACAAACAAACAGGAATATACCTAACCAAGGAGTTAAAAGACCTTTGCAAGGAGAACTACAAAACACTGCTGAAATAAATCATAGATGACACAAACAAGTGGAAACACATCCTATGCTTATGGATGGGTAGAATCAATATTGTGAAAATGACCATACTGCCAAAACCAGTAAACAAATTCAATGCAATCCCCGTAAAAATAACACTGTCATTCTTCACAGAATTAGAAAAAAAAAAAACGTCTAAAATTCATATGGAACCAAAAAAGAGCCCACATACCCAAAGCAAGACTAAGCAAAAACAACAAATCTGGAGGCATCACACTACCTGCTTTCAAACTATACTATAAGGCCATAGTCACTAAAACAGTGTGATACTGGCATAAAAATAGGCACATAGACCAATGGAACAGAATAGAGAACCCAGAAACAAACCCGAATACTTACAGCCAACTGATCTTCGACAAAGCAAACAAAAACAGAGTGGGGAAAGGATACTCTTTTCAAAAAATGGTGCTGGGATAACTGGCTAGCCACAGGTAGGATAATGAAACTGGATCTTCGTCTCTTACCTTATATGAACAAAAATCAACACAAGATGGATTAAGGAATTAAAGCTAAGACCTGAAACTATAAAAATTCTAAAAGATAACATTGAAAAAACCCTTCTAGACATTGGCTTAGGCAAGGATTTCATGAGTGGAACCTAAAAGCAAATGCAATATAAACAAAGATAAGTAGTTGGGACTTAATTAAACCAAAGAGCTTTTGCACGGCAAAAGGGACAGTCAGCAAACAGACAACCCACAGAGTGGGAGAAAATATTCACAATCTATACATCTGACAAAGGATTGATATGCAGAACCTGCAACAAACTCAAATCAGTACGAAAAAATCCCATCAGAAAGTATGCTAAAGACATGAATAGACAATTTTCAAAAGAAGATATACAAATGGCCAAAAAACATGAAAAAAATGTTCAAAATCACTAATGATTAGGGAATTGCAAATCAAAACTACAATGAGATACCACCTTACTTCTGCAAGAATGACCATAATAAAAAAAAAAAAAAAAAAAAAAACAGTAGATGTTGGCATGGATGTGGTAGTCAGGGAATGTAAACTAGTACAATCACTAAGGAAAACTGTGGAGATTCCTTACAGAACTAAAAGTAGAACTACCATTTGATACAGCAATCCCCACCACTAAGTATCTACCCAGAGGAAAAGAAGTCATTATTTGAAAATGAAACTTGCACACACATGTTTATAGTAGCATAATTTACAATTGCAAAATTGTGGAACCAACCCAAATGCCGATCAGTCAAAGGGTGGATAAAGAAATTTTGGTATATATATGATGGAATACTACTCGGCCATAAAAAGGAATGAATTAACAGCATTTGCAGTGACCTGGATGAGACTGGAAACTATTATTCTAAGTGAAGTAACTCAGGAATGGAAACCCGAACGTTGTATATTCTCAGTGATAGGTGGGAGCTAAGCTATGAGGACACAAAAGCATAAGAATGATACAACGGACTTTGGAAACTTGGGGGAAAGAGTGGGAGGGGGCAAGGGATAAAAGACTACAACTATGGTGCAATGTATACTGCTTGGGTGATGGGTGCACCAAAGTCTCACAAATCGCCACTAAAGAATGTACTCATGTAACCAAATACCACCTGTACCCCAATAACTTATGGGGAAAAAAGACATACAAATGGTGAATAGATATGTGAAAAAAATGCTCAATATTATAATATTATCAAGGAAATGCAAATTAAAACCACAGTGAGACATTACCTCACACCTGTTAGGGTAAGTATTATCAAAAAGATGAGAGATAGTAAGTGTTGGTGAGAGTACAGAAAACAGGAAACCCTTGGATGCATGTAAACTTTTGACATGAATGTAAATTGGTACAACCCATTTATGGATATTTATCAAAAGAAAATAAAAGCAGGATATCATAGAGACATCTTTACTCCCATGTTCATTGCAGCATATTCACAATAGTCAAAATATGGAATCAACCTAAATGTCTTGATAGATGAATTGACACAGAAAATATAGTATCAGATATTGAAGAGTCCCAAAATTCAAAGCCATCAATTCATAAAATTTCTTAAGAATTTACAATTCAATATGTAGCTAATAGGAGTCTCATAAAGAAAGAATGGGGAAAACATGAAGAGAAAAATTATCCAGTCAATAGTGCAGTATAATTTCTCAGAGATAAGTAGCTGGAGTCTTTAGACTGAAAACATGTGTGAGTGCCCAGTATATTTGAATTTTAAAAATACACCTAGACACAGGCCGGGCGCGGTGGCTCACGCCTGTAATCCCAGCACTTTGGGAGGCCGAGACAGGTGGATCACGAGGTCAAGAGATCGAGACCATCCTGGTCAATATGGTGAAACCTCATCTCTACTAAAACTACAAAAAAAAAAAAAAATTAGCTGGGCATGGTGGCACGTGCCTGTAATTCCAGCTACTCAGGAGGCTGAGGCAGGAGAATTG